TACAAATAATCCAATGTTTATCATATAGTCATCAGACTTGTTTAACTCCATTAATTTTGTCCTGTTAACCCCAGGAGTTCATGAAGGCCACAGTGGACATGGCCGATCTTCTAGGTCTTCACCTGGTTATGTCTAAGAATGCTGGGAAGGGCGAGTATAAGATCATGGTGGCCGCTATGGGCTGGGCCACAGCGGAGCTCATCATGTCAAGGTATTCAGATCACCCTGACAGAGATCTTGACTGATTTTTCACCTGCACAAACCAATAGAAATGAATGTATATGTTTTAGTTGTGCATTTTTGTTTAGTTCTAATACATGAGTTTGTAGTCCCAAGAAATGACCAATACTGTAAAAAACTGTTTTGTCTGGCTGTTCTGAACAGATGTATACCGTTATGGGTGGGAGCTCGTGGCATAGAGTTTGACTGGAAATACATCCAGATGAGCTTTGATTCAAACATCAGTCTGGTAAGATGTGCTTGCATCACACTTCTTTTTATTTTTCTTTAATATTGTAACATTAAATGTGATTTAATCAGTGATCAGTGTTACTCGCTCATGTTACTTTATCTTATTCGTTTTAATCACATCAGGTACATTATATTGCCATGGCGGCGGTAGTATGGATGTTCACTCGATACGACCTTCCCAAAAGCTTCCGTCTCCCTGTCACCGTCCTGCTGGGATTGTGTGTTTATAAGGGATTTCTAATGGAGTGAGTATCACAGTCATACATTTATTTTTGGCACAGTTTTTAAACTGAGGTATTATAACAGAGCTGTCATAAATCATCATTTCATCAGTACTCCTTAGTTTGTACTGAGTGGCAAGTTTCTAGTAAACAGGGTTTAGATAAATATTTTAAGTTGATAATATTAGTTTTGAACCAAAATGAATGAGTGTGCTTTTTTACTCTGGCAGATTATAAAAGTGCTAAACAGTTGTTCATACTATCAGGAATTTTAGGCTGATTTAGCTGTTGCTACTGGAACGGTGGGTCCATTAAAACACATTCAGTCATCCCATTTTATTTTGCTTCACATGTAGGAGTAAACATTTCTTAGGTGGTAATTGTTGGTTCCTAAACCCATAAACAACATAGAACTATTAATAGATTACACACATTTGCACATCAAAACCATACATGTGAAATCAGCTTGTAACGAATCAAAATGTATAACACCAAAGAGAAAATGTACATAACCAGAATTCAATATAACATAACACAATTCCTTTAACTAAACTAAAAAAACCAGAAGAAAGGAACTTACATAGTCGACCACACAACAATTCTCTTACATTCATACAAACAAACTGAGACTGAAGCATGATTAGTAAGTGACATCAGATGATCTTTTTCGGGACTCAATCAACCAATCAGATCACAGCAGGGTTTTCTACATACTGTACATTCGAATTTTACAATGTTTAATTTCTTAATGAATTGTTCCAAACTATACAGATTCACAATATCAGTTATAATATCCATTTTTGGTCATAACATCTAAAGTGATTCTCAGTAATATTCACTGTTGGACAGCAAGTCAATCTATTTTTAAAACTAGGGATTTGCGCAAACGAACGCGTGCAAAATCTGAGGTAAAATGAAATGATTTTGTTTTCCGCTCCAGATATAATCATTTCAAAGTAAGTTATATATTAATTTTAAAATGTAACATTAACATGACTGTAATTTAAGTATAGCTTTTGTAAATATATTGAGCAAAACATTAATCTGCCAAAATAACTAATCAGCTAGTCTCGCAAATCACTATTTAAAACCTACATTACTCTACAAAGATTAAAGCTGAGTCAATTTGATTTTATGTATTTGATGTTAATTTATCTAAAAAGGTGCTTATTTATATTAGTTGCACTTGTTTGTTCTTCCTCCAGGTGGCACTGTTGCCTTAATTTTGATTTAATTCGCTTTAGTTATGGCTGTTTGGAATTAAATACCAGCTTACTACTTGCTGAATACTGCACAGTATGGCATGTACTACTATTTTCTAAAAACAGTGTCTTAAACAGAGCACATTACAGAGCAAAACAATAGTATGCTGTATTATTGTAATTAAAGGAGTAGTTCACTTTTAAAATAAACTTTTGCTGATAATTTACTCACCCCCATGTCATCCAAGATGTCCATGTCTTTCTTTCTTCAGTCGAAAAGAAATGAAGGTTTTTGATGAAAACATTCCAGGATTTTCTCCATATAATGGACTTCAGTGGGAACCAAACGGTTCAAGGTCCAAATGAGAGTTTCAGTGGCGCTTCAAAGGTCTTTAAACGACACCAGACGATGAATAAGGGTCTTATCTAACGAAAAAAATCGCTCATTTAAAAAATAAATAAAAAACGTTTAAGTTTTATAAGCACAAATGCTCGCCTTGCTCTGTTCTGTGATGAGCGTTCGTGACTCTCCTGTTCGAACTCGTTCATCAAAATGAACAAATCTTTTTTCGAGTCATGACTCGAAGGGTCCTATAAGACCCTTATTCATCGTCTGGTGTCGTTTAAAGCCCTTTGAAGCGCCACTGAAACTCTCATTTGGAGCTTGAACCATTTGGTTTAAACGACACTGCTTGCAAACAACGTCTACTTTGACCCGTCCTCAAACATTGTAGTTGTATCTGAGACTGGAAGAGTTTGGTTCATGTTGTCAAAATGTTATTTTCTGTGCTGAGAAAGCAAATCCACTTTACATGCACTTCAAAAAAAAAAGTGAAGACTTGGGCTCAAATTGATATTGCACCATTGTTACTGTTTGCATCACTGTGTATCAAGTACTGAGGAAGACTTCAGAGCTGAAATTCAGATAATGGGTGTTTAATTTTTTTTTAACATGGGCTGTAAACACTAGACCGTTCACAACAGACTGACCAATCAGAGCAGAGTAGGCTCTCCTAAAGGAAGGGTTTAAAGAGTCTGAATCCTTTTTTGAAACTGTTCCAGACACTGTGAGAAAAGAGGTGATTTGCAACATATATTTTGAGTAAATGTAAGTGTTTGTTGTAGGAGACCTCCAAAACAACATGATGAACTTTAAAAATGGCATAATAGGGACACTTCTTGTGTCTAAAAAAATCGCAGTAAATCTTGTTGTGAGGTTTTAGTCCACGGCTGTTTATTTCCACATTTGTGTCTCTCCTCCAGGCTGTTCGTACATGTCTTCCTCCTGGGCAGCTGGACGGCTCTCCTCGTGAAGGCCTTGCTCACCGGTGCCATCTCCCTCTGTTCACTCTTCCTGTTCGTCACGCTCGTTCACAGCAACTAATCTCTTGGTGTACTGTACAGTGCCACTACACACGGGGCATTTCAAGTATTTAAAGAGCAACTCCTCATTCCTACATTGAACTTTTTGTATCTGCCTCAATGAGACTGTGATAGTATAACTTTTATTAGTGATCATGTTTTTACATAACTCAATTACCTAAATAAACACATGCGTTCAATATGAAGGAATGCTTGGACGATTTTGGGAAAGAAACCTCTCATGGTGAAACTTACCTTCTTAATCATGAACTAATTTATAAATAAAGACCAGATGGGACAAAAATCCTTTGCAGTTTTTGTATGATTGAGTTTAGTTATCAGAAAATATGAAGAATGTATGAAATATTCTCTGAGCTTACCAAACCCAGCTAAATATGTTATACATTGGGTTTAACTATGGGTTTTGATGAATCGTAAGAAAAGAAATCCAAATCATAATGAACAGGGAGTGGCTTTTAAACACAGTTTTTAATGCAACTCTGCTGAAAACTACTGATGATGATGTTCATAGCCATAGATAGAACTGACTTCTTGACCAGTAGTGCACTTTAGGTTGTTGCATAATAGGATTGTAAATACTAGTCTGCTATATGTATTTACCATAATTACACATTCAGTTATAAAATCTATTTTCAGATTTTAAGTTTTTGTATTTTTCAATCTGCCTGGTTATTGATTAAAAAATACCGTAGTGGATGCACACAATCAAGTGGATTTAAACCTGTGCATTCTCTTCATTTTGTCCTCATGGAAAGTTTCTTATGTAACTTGAACTTGTCCCCAATCGGTGGGCGGAGCCTTCTTATCGACTATCTAACAACCCAGTCTACCTGCAACAATAACAAACATATACTAACAAACCAGTTCTGTCGATTTAAAATCCAGGAGCAGTGTTGTTATTCTCCATTAAGACACCTGAGAGTGATTTGTGGAAAGAATTGAATTTTGAATCGGTTTCACTCTTGCGTTACGGGTCACTCTCTCACATGTATTACATTACCAGTACAGTAGAGACTCTTTATCAGACTGCAGACTCAATGCTGCTGATAAACAATCAAACTCTCTCGAGTGTTCTTCTAGCAGGGCAGGTTTTTCAGCTTTACTTGCAAATCTTCTTATGATCTTTCTTTCAAACAATGTTTTTTTAAACTGGCTTTTTAAAGTTTTCATCCTTCAAACCCTTTCCTTCGACGTTTTGTGACATAGGCTACTGTTTTCTTTTAAATGTTTTTCCTTTTGGACTCTTTCATTTCTTTCTACTTTATTTCTTTCTTACCCTTTTCTAACGTTTTGTACTTTCTCCTTCATTAAAAAAACGTCTTATTTATTATAAAATCTCGTTTTATAATATTTTTTTTAAAACTCGATGTATTTACCTGAAGTAGCCTATCACTCAAATATCTATGCATAGTAATCATAATGTATATATTACTACAGTATATAACGATTTGATTGCATGCACCATGGTTTGTTTGCTTGCTTGTTCTTTTTTTCCGTATTCAAAACTTTGCAGCTATCTTTTTTCCTTTCAGTTTTGTGCACATAAAATCCTCCTTTGTATGTGTACTTGGACCCAAGTAACCTTTCCCCCAAACTCTCCTGTGAATGTCAGCAGCAAAATATACAGCTCCCTGTTGAGTTAATGAATGCTCTCACCGTCAAACTCTCTCTCTCTCTCTCTCTCTCTCTCTCTCTCTCTCTCTCTCTCTCTCTCTCTCTCTCTCTCTCACTCACTCTCTCGTTCACTCTCTCTCCTCCCTTCAAGTGAATTTAAATTCACAGAGAGCAAGGTGAACAAAACTTCCTTGTTTTCCAAAGTCCGGTCAGCTGAGGATGGCGGACAGCGATTTGTATCGGCTTTACCATGGTCTCATGCTGCCTACGATTGCTCACACAGATGAAAGTCTCAACTACCTCCAGAATTTTCAAGTTAGAGATGACGATATCTTTGCTGTAACCTATCCAAAATCTGGTAAGTGCAACTTTTTTCCCATGCATTCAGCAACACGTCTTAATCTACTTGCACAGTTTGCTAAACAAATCAACATCTTAAAATTGTGCAACAGTTAAACGATGCAGAAACCACAAAGAGCAATCATGAGTTGGATTCCTTGAATGTTTCCTTTGAATGCAATGGATGACACTGTCTGCATTCTGATCCTCCTCAGACTGCAAATCACTCCACTAACTCTATTATAGACATTAAGATTCAAATATTGAAACTCGGGCTAATACGTTCTCTTGTGCAAATGTTATGGAGAGATATTATGAGAAATTCAGCATTAATGCATGATGAAATGTTGATTATACTACGTTTCTTGAAGCAAATGCAAATGCAAGACGATCAGTGCATCCTCATTAACCCCTGCCTGTTATTTGCAGGTACCACATGGATGCAGGAAATTCTTCCCCCACTCCTGAATGGAGGAGACCTGACCTCAGTGCAAACCATCCCCAACTGGGAGAGGGTTCCATGGCTGGAGGAAAACCGAGCTCCACGGGTCCTCGATAAATTCCCTTCCCCGAGAGCCATCGTCTCTCACATGCCTTATCATTTGATGCCTTCCACCTTTTTCAACTCCAAAGCCAAGGTATAGAAAACCTTGCAAGCAAGACAGCCACTATATACATTTTTTACATTTTGCTTTCTGATAATACTAGTCTTTTTGTTTGTTTTTGTGACCATGTGAATTTTGAGATTAAAATAAAAGGTAATATCTGTGCATGCATGGATGTGATATTTAGCATTCGCCAAGGATGATCACTACACTGCTCACCACAATAGTGTTTAAATCATATCTAATCATGCTATAATGTGCGTTGTTGCCACATTTAGTGTAAATTAAAAATGATAATCAGACCTTAAACTAAGCGTATAAACCTAAACAATCCCCATAATTGTGATTTGAAATGAATAACACAACAGTTAAACCTATTATCAAATCTATTATCACAGAGTATGATGTTCTTATCGTTTAGAGCAATTGTGTGACGCAAAATGACCTTGCCTGTAGTTGCATTCTCAGTACATTATGGCATCATAAGGAATCAGTGGCAATATCATTGCATTTTTGTACAATGTATGTTTTGGGTGATTTCACATCCAGAAACCTGTCTGGCCAGTCAATCAGTTGCATGTGTTTAATCATGATATCTTTTCTTTCCTCTTCAGGTGATCTACATTGCTCGCAATCCTAAAGATGTTCTAGTCTCATCTTTCCACTTTCATAAAATGGCAACTTTCCTTGAAGACCCTGGAACATTTGAAGAGTTCATAGACAAATTCCTGTCAGGAAAAGGTGAGGGATTCAAATATACAGTCTGTCAAGAGTGTCAAAAAATGTACATTCAAAAGTTTGAGAATGTTTTTGAAAGCAGTCTCAAATGAAGAAGTCTCTCACCAGTTCTGCATTTATTTCATTAAACACAGTAAAACAGTAATATTGTGAAATATTATTACTATTTCTATTTTAAAATGTAATGTATGCCTGTGATGCAAATCTGAACTTTCAGTCTTCATGTGACACACGTGATCCTTCAGAAATAATCATTCTAATATGCTCATGTGCACAAGAAACATTTCTGATTATTATTTCAATGTTGAAAACAGTTGATTGACTAGTTCTTGAACATTGGTGTGTTTTGATATATTGATGGTGCCTTGTTTTATTTACCTGCTTTAAAATCACTATTGAATCACTAATTTATTTCTGTATTTTACAGTAATCATACATCAGAGAGTATGAATGAAAGAAGTTTGTCATAAATATTGAATAGTTGATTATATATAAATATCAAATAATTGATTTCCAATTGTTTGCACAGTTCTTTTCGGGAAGTGGACTGACCATGTGAAAAGTTGGCGAAACCCTGAGCTCGGGGACAGAATTCTGTACATCACCTATGAAGAAATGTTTCAGGTAAAGTGAAGGGAAAGTGTTACTCCTTCAGGTATCAGAGAGAATGAGTAACTCGCAGCTCTTTGCTTTTGTAATTAAAGGACCTCCGTGAAGTCGCGGAGCGGATTTTAAAGTTTCTCGGTCGGGGGCTCAGCGCAGACGCTCTGGATCGTGTGGTCAATAATGGCACTTTCAAAAATATGAAAACAAACAAAATGTCAAACTACTCTCTGGTGCCAGATGTCGTTTTGGACAAGAAGAAGTCAAACTTCCTCAGAAAAGGTACAAGCACATTTAAAAGATGTACAGTTATTAATAATAAACACACATGCTCGGTTGGTTCATCCCATTTATGTTTTTGACTGAAAGCATTCTGTTTATTTAAAGGTATCGCTGGAGACTGGAAGAATCACTTCAGCCCTGAACTTGATGCCAAATTCACAGCTGTAATTCAGGAGGAAATGAAAGGAAGTAATATCAGATTCCCATGGGATGAGAAATAAGCGAATCTCTTGTAATAGTGTCTTAGTGCACATCAAAATAAACAGTCATAGTTGCAATGTGTGATCGTTTATTGGAGTTGATTTCTATGTTGTTTATTCGAGTTTAAAGTTTCATTCCTCATCAGGCAGCACAGCGTGAAAGCGTCATTGCAGCAATGTCCTCTGGTGTCCTGAAGATCTGTTGGGATTGCTTAAGATGATAAGATGGTAAAGACTGAGACAGTTTAACCAGCGTTGGTTTTTACAACATAACGGCGGCGAGGATGCAACATCCTGACATCTGTTTGCATTGCTTTGTGTCACTGGGTGATGTTGCAAGCATATAATTATATTATTTATTATCATATAATTATTATAACTTCATATAATTATTCACAATTAAAAAGTATATACACTACCATTAAAAAGTTTTTAATTGGAAGATTTTTTTTTTAAAAAGTCTCTTCTGCTAACCAAGGCTGCAGTTATTTGAGCCAAAATACAGCAGAAGCAGTCATGTTTGGGGAAAAACTTACAATTTAAAATGACTGTTTTCTGTTCTGAATCTCTTTTAATGTAATTTATTGCTGTTATGCAAAGCTGAATTTTCAGCATCATACTCCAGTGTTCAGTGTCACATGTGTCAGAAATCATTCTAATATGCTGATTTACTGAAGTACTAATTATTATTATTATTATCAATGTTGAAAACAATTGTGCTGTGTATATATATATATATATATATATATATATATATGTGTGTGTGTGTGTGTGTGTGTGTGTGTGTTCTGGATTATTTGATTAACAAACTTAAAAAGAACAGCAGTTATTTGGAATAGAAATATTTTCCAACATTATAAATATAAATGCACTGTACGAGGTCAAACCTCGCGGAAACTGGGGGTAACGCGGATATGACGTCATTGACTGGCGACTCCTCACCCCTGCTCACACGCCCCGTTTGTCTTGGAAATCGCAATTTTCTCACGATTTACAAATAGTTGAAAACATTTGGGATATTGTAAGTAATCAACTAAACAAAATATATAACATTGTCCTAGTGGTTTTTGGATATTTTACTGCAAAAATCCTGCAGATACCTTTAATATATTATTTTGTATTTAACAGAAAAAAGAAATGCATACAGGTTAGAAACAACTTGAGGGTGAGTAAATGATGACAGAATTTTCATTTTGAAGTGAACTAATCCTTTAAATATTTACCTATAGGACAGAAAAAAAACAAGATATCTTTTGTGTGTTCCTCTTGGACAGCGGTGAAATTAAACGGAAAGAAAATCGAGGCTATTTTTCAGCGTAATGGCAACCACTCAAGGCCCTGTTTACCACAGTTTTCATTTTATTGCCACCTGACTTATTCCTTTATTGTTCAATCACCACCACCACCACCAGAGATTGAGCTGCTTTGTGCCAGAATACACATTCAAAGAAATGGACTCATTTAATTCAGTTCCAGAATATTATTCAAATGAAGCTTGTGATGTACTGTGATTAGTTGTCAGATTCGTTGCACGTAAACTGTCATCAACATATGTGAATGTACGTGCTGACTAGTGTATGATGTGAAACCGCTAAAGCGTATTTCTTCTCCTCTGAGGGCATTTCACCCCAGGGCCTGTGCCGTAGCCTACGTGACTACACTGGGGTCCGCTGCAGACTCCCTCTTTACCGATAACGCTAATGAACTTCCTGTGATTTCCTGTAATTGGGGCACTTTGGGCGGGACACACGTGTGAGCATAGGCATCGTCCAGGCGTGTCGAGGGCATTTTTTCAGGCATATATGCAAGCACGATGGCATTGTTGCTTCCTGATTGGGCAGCGGAATCATATATCCTCACGTATTGTCTAGCTAGACAGCTGGCGTATTGACGGCCGCTGCGGTGCGCATGTGCATCAGACACAGATAAAAGATCAGCTGACATCATCAGGACAGGATGGACACTGGAACAGACGGATATCAAAGTGTCTCCTCTCAGATTGTCCCTGGAAAGCCGAACATGGCATGGTGGGTGTCCATGGGTGTGGATGACAGACTCTTTCAAGAACAAAGGGTCAGCTTTTATTTGGACTAGTGTCGACACTCCAGGGATTTAGAGAGATGAAGAAAGGCAGGGCAGTCTGACATAAACTGGCAGTGCACATTTAAATGCAAAGGAATTTATTTCCTTTGATTCTGTCATTCTGTTCTCATTCTCATCCTGAAGATTTAGTTGAAACAGTCTCCTTTTGAACATTTAGATCCAGACTTGTTTTATTTATTTATTTTTTTACCCATTATAATTTATTTATTGTGATTTCCCACATGTAAGAATAAGAGTGAAGTCATCACAACTGTCACAAATGGAAATTATATTAAGAATGGAAATTATATTAATATAAAAAGAGACACAAATCCAAACTCTATTGTAGCTGCTTGTACATTTTCTTCTATGTTGTCCAGTTCATCATTTTTAAAACACACTTGTTATAATTATTATTATTATATTATTTAAAGCTTAATTTTTAAAGAATTTTATGAGTGCGTGCAATTGATATTTGTCTATTTATATTATCTATTCATGTTTGTGAGATAGATGGATGGGTGAGGGTTGGATGATGAGATGGATGGATGGATGATAAGTTAGATTGATGAATGATGAGTTAAATGGATGGCTGATGAGATAGATGGATGGATGGACCCACTGAAAGTCTATAGCTAAATAACAGCTGAAATAAAGTTAGATAACTGGTACATTTGAACAGAGGACATATACGTATAACCTCATGAAATGTGCAGAGTTGTTTGTTGAGAATATTTCCTTAACTTAATAAGCATGACCTTTACCGCGCTGTCACTGAGAGGACTGGCTATTGATCACGAGGAGGCCTGTGATGTGTTTGCCCTTCCCAGAAGTCAATCTGAATTCACTGAACAGTGGCATGGAAACTTCATCGTGCTCCGAGAGCCAGTGGTCGGGAGCATTTCCGTTGTGTTGTGGTTTAATTTCGTTGTGTTGTGAACTTATGTTTGCGTTTTAAATTTCTTTGTGTTGCGCACTACTACTGGCCCACCATAAAAATGGCTTACTGTACAGCTGGCAAATACCTGTGACTGTGACCTGGTGAAAGTCCTCTGCTGCTACTGTGGACTCGCATTATTTATTTAAAGGAAAAGCATGATGGAAAAAACAAGACCCAATTAAATACCCACAATGCAATGTATTGGTTTCTCCAAAAGACCACCCACGTGTCCTGACAGAAAGATCTCAGAATAGCAAAGAAAAATAAACTTAAATGGCTTTATTAGGAAATACAGCACTATGACACATGCTGACCCAGATAACAACACATAAAAAACAACAACCCTGAAATAACACTCAATCTCGCTGTGCTTTGTTTTAAAATTTACAACTGCAGCATGTCTTTGTTGTTATTATTATTTTACAAATATATATATATATATATATAAAAAAGTTTTTGTAGGTTTATTAAGCCTAAAAATAGATTGTTTTGGTTCAACTTTAACCCTTTGATGCATGCACAAATAATAAAAAAAAATGTCTGATGTTACCAGTAAAAAGTGGCCTACATTATTTTAAATATAGAAAGTCAGTGACAGAGTGCAAGCATATTATTCTAAAATAATTATATCTAATGTCCTGTGAATTGGGTCACCAGCACCAAGTCCAAGTCTATTGATTTACACCCACAAAATAACCTTTTATCATATGCTTTGAGAATCGCAATAATATTGTATTGAGCGTTTAGTATCGTATCTAATCGTGACATGAGGGTATCGTTACACCCCTAATTTCGAGAGAATGCAGTTCTGTTCACTGCAACAGAAGATGATGGAAAATATTCCTAAGGTGCATCACAATTTTCATCAGACAAATTTGAATGATTTTTTGTTTGCAAGAGCTTAAAAACTAAGTTAAGTGTAGTTTAAATGAAATCCGGACGTACTGCATTCGTCATGTTGTCACTGTCATGGGCGTCAGTTGCCACTTTTTATAAATCCTCTTCTGTGATCCCATGGGATAGCAATGTTTTTTTGCCTACAAAGTAAGTACGCAATTTTGGGATACAGCCAATTTATAAAGAGAGCAGTCACATAATTAAGGGTCAAAGGTCTTTCCCATCATGCATCAAAGGGTTTAATCCACCATCCATACCTTGGAGCTTGGAGATACTTCATGATTTACTTCATGCCATGGGCCCTTGCTCTTTTGGATTGACACAACATCACTGGGATCCCACGTTGGCTGCTCATTCATGCGTCTCTCTCATCATCCATCCATCCATCCATCCATCCATCCATCCATCCATCCATCCATCTATCATGATTGAAATCTGCCTCTAACTATTGTTTAAAGATGTTTTCTAATGTGAACAAATTAGATTCCCTTAACTTACCAAAATCGATGTGGGAAAGACACAGTTTGATATTTTCCCTCTACAGGTCTATTATGTTTATGGGAGATTAATTTTAAAAGTGTATTGTACTACAAATGACTAAGTAAAAATTGTAAAAATTGCAAAAATCCATTGTTATATTATTAAAGTAATGTAGTGAGATTACTTTTTTTTTGGATGACCTCATGTTCATCATATAACTGAGAAAGCCCGATATATATATATATAAATTGCCAATAAAACCAACAAAATCATACTTTTTATAGTAAAAAGATAAAATAACGGGTATCCACACAGTTGAGTTTTTGTTTCGAAGAACTGGCAACCGAGACATAAGCACTTTTGGCATTCCTTATCAGAAAGTATTCCATCTAAGAATTGCATAAAATTTCTGCCAGCACACAATTAATAATAAAGGCGCTGAACTATTATTAGCAACATCACAACCGGTCTGCCACGTCTTATTGTTAGCTCTGTATTTACACTTCTACAGCAATCATTCGGCCTGTTCGTATTTATTCATGTGGTTTTATTTACTGATGCTGAAATGCTGTCGGCTTCCTGCTATTGTCTGAATGATTATCTTCACCTGAGTCTTTACATTAAATCACATGCTCTGTGTGGACACTCCACCTTTGTTTTGACTAGTACACACTAATGCTCATACAGTATTGTAGGAGCTGCAGCGACATTGACGTCAGAGGAACAATAGCTTTATTCTAAAAAATGTACTTTACTATTCTTACAAAAGCTGTGTGGATGACATGCAATCAGCAAAAAGCTGGAACAGTGTTGGGGAAAGTTACTTTAAAAGTGATGCGTAACAATATTGCAGTACTCCCCCAAAAAGTAGCCTAACTTATTCTTATTCTTTCAACATGAGGACAAGTTCAAGTTACTTTATTTATACCTGAATGTTGATTTTGTTTTCAGTAGAGTCACACATCACATTTCACACATCATCACATTACCACACACGGTCAAAAACAAAGATAAATACATGAACATACGTAAAAATGTTATGTAAGATACAAGTAAAAAGGATTTAAATACATAGGTACAGTTCAGAAGAGCTGTCTGTCAATAAAAAGCAAAACAAAGTAATTCAGATATTTTATTTGTAAAAAGGTAAATTGCATTAAAGGAGTAGTTCACTTTTTTTTTAAAAAAACTTTTGCTGATAATTTACTCACCCCCATGTCATCCAAGATGTCCATGTTTTTCTTTCTTCAGTCGTAAAGAAATTAAGGTTTTTGATGAAAACATTCTAGGATTTTTCTCCATATAATGGACTTCAGTGGGAACCAAACGGTTCAAGGTCCAAAAGACGCTTTCAGTGCAAATCGCAAACTGTTCAAAGGGGTTTAAACGATTCCAGACGATGAATAAGAGTCTTATCAAGCGAATCGATCGCTCATTTAAATAAAGTTCAAGTTTTATAAGCTCAAATGGTCGCATTGCTCTGTTCTGTGTGACTCGAACTCGTTCATCAAAATGAACGAATCTTTTTCCGAGTCGTTCCAATTCGTTCATTTCGTTTGTGGAATGAACCAAATGACACGAAAAAAGATTCGTTCATTTTGATGATTGAGTTCGAACAGGAGAGTCACGAACGCGCATCACAGAACAGAGCAAGGTGACCATTTGAGCTTATAAAACTTAAACTTAGTTATTTATTTATTAAATGAGTGATCGTTTCGCTTGATAAGACCCTTATTCATCGGCTGGAATCGTTTAAAGCCCTTTGAACGGTTTGCAGTTTGCGCTGAAAGTGTCTTTTGGACCTTGAACCGTTTGGTTCCCTTTGAAGTCCATTATATAATCAATACCATCCCTTTATGACACCTATACCTACCTTTGAGGAATCAGCATGTCTGCAAGTGTCATACGAGTTCAGATCTGTCCAGATATCGCAGGAGTTTGCCTGACATCTGTCCGCTCTTCCTGAAGCATCCATTCACGCCCAGCAAAGCTGTCTCAGACAATAACCTGAGCGCCTTGCGTGCGTGTGTGCATGTGCGTCTCTTATTAGCGTGTTTTTATTATATGTCAGCACTGCGCTTCTGGCTCCAGACTAACACCCCATTGTCTGTGCAACTATTGTTTGTTTGCTAGGCCGAGAGAAGGACAAAGACGGGAACAGATGCTGGTCTGGGAGCTGGCGTCGTGTGGCATCCCTAAACTGGTGGGTGTGGGCTCATTGTTTTGAGGGTCTTAAAAGGGAAGTTCCTTTACTCTGGAGATTTGGCAAACGCTGAGGACGAACCTCAAGTTGTCTTTTCCACTATTAACTCTGTTTTAAATGCTTCTGTGCTTTCATTTTAGAGGCCTTTGCTCTCTGTGACAACTTTGGGAAGTTTTTTATTGATAAGATCACAACTTTAAGATCTCAGTTGTCCAACTCTGTATATACTATGCATGATGTTCCATTGTGTTGACTCATGTAATGAAACTGTTGGTCCCCTAAAACCTACTATCTGTCCTCAGGATATTATTCCTGGATAGCTGTCCACCATTTTTCCTGAGACAAATGATGGACACAATTGGCTGGCCTGTTATCTACTGGTTCCTTCCCTGACAGTCTTAAAGGGGTGAGTTTCATTTTTGGGTGAACTAACCCTTTAAAGTTGCTGTGGTGACGCCATTTCTTAAAAAAAGATCATTTGAATCCTTCCTCTCTTTCTTAATCCGTCCTATTTCTAATCTAGAGTTGCACTGACTCAATTACAATCATACTTGGCTGTAAATTCTCTATATGAAACATTTCAATCTGGTTTTACAGCTTTACACAGTACTGAATCTGCCATTTTAAAGGGTTAGTTCACCCAAAAATGAAAATTAAGTCATTAATTACTCACCCTCATGCTGTACCAACCCCGTAAGACCTTCGTTCGTCTTCGGAACACAAATGAAGATATATTTGATTAAATTTGAGAGCTGTATAACTACCACATTGACTCCTAAGGACCTGCTTTCCCATGACGGCCCAGAAAGTCAATGAAGAAAATGTTTAAATATCCCAAGTGACTACCGTGGCTCAACTATATGTTTATCAAGCGACGCGAATACTTTTTGTGCGAAAAAACAAACAAAAATAACGAGTTTATTCGACTATTTCTTTTCTTCCTTGTAGGCCAGAACGAGACTTCCTTAGATTTCCACGACGCATGCGCGAGAATTGCGATCTGCTCACACCAGCTTACACTACTTCAGATCGCAATTCTCGCGCATGCGTCGTGGAAATCTAAGGAAGTCTCGTTCTGGCCTACAAGGAAGAAAAGAAATAGTCGAATAAACTCGTTATTTTTGTTTGTTTTTTCGCACAAAAAGTATTCGCGTCGCTTGATAAACATATAGTTGAGCCACGGTAGTCACTTGGGATATTTAAACATTTTCTTCATTGACTTTCTGGGCCGTCAAGAGGCAGTCCTTTAGGAGCCAATGTGGTAGTTATACAGCTCTCAAATTTAATCAAAAATATCTTCATTTGTGTTCCGAAGACGAACGAAGGTCTTACGGGGTTGGTACAGCATGGGGGTGAGTAATTAATGACTTAATTTTCATTTTTGGGTGAACTAACCCTTTAAGAGTTTCAAGTGATATTTTCACAGAAACTGATTCTGGGAAATCCATGGCTTTAGTTTTATTAGATCTGAGTGCTGCTTTTGACTTAGTCAACCATGAGGTCCTGTTGAGACGTCTGGATATATCTGTGGACTTTCGTGGCGTAGTCTTACAGTGGTTCTGTTCTTATCTGACAAACGGATGTTTTAGAGTTCGTGCTGGTCATCAGTCCTCCTCTAGTGTACCTCTAAACTGTGGAGTCCCACAGGGATCAATCCTTGAGAGAATTTTTTTTCTGTTATGTACAGCACTGGTTGTTTTTAAATGTGCTTTATAAATATATATTGTATTATATTGTGTACTGCAGATCTTCCGAGCTTCAATTGGATCCTGTTCTGATCGAAGAGACATTATAAAGACCTAAAATGCACAAGAGAAGGGTTGAAAAAAAAAAGACAACCAACAACTCCTTTTCATTTCCCAGTGCCCAGCTTTGAAAGCACATGCTCCCTCATAATGAAAGAAAATGATTGGGGCCGATTATCACGCTGATATGAGTTCCTAAATGGGTGGACTACATTCCCAGAGGCCCAGAGGACCTTTGCATGAGACCATGCATTGCCTCTGATTGACTTGCTATCAAGCAGAGAGGTGCTGGGAAGCCGTGCTTGCCAGTTGCTCTCATTGCTGATAAGGTCAGAAGTGTGGAGGTCTCTCGGAGAGAACAGGAGTGGCACAGATCTCGCAGTTGGTGGCAAATCAGATCACATTGAGGCTGAGAGATTGCATTTGTTGCTGCTGAGAGTATTTGGAATGGGTTTTAAAGGAATAGTTCAGCCAAAAAGTTTTCAAAGTTTCAAAAAGAGCAAATAAAGCTCCATAAAAGTAGTTAATATGACTTGACATGTGCACTATATTCAAATCAATTCAGTTCATTTGTATTGCGCTTTTCACAATACATATAGTTTCAAAGCAGCTTTACAGAAAATGCTTGTTTCAATGTTACAATTAAGGCAGTATTCTGTTACTATTCAGAGATGAATGTGTCAAAGTTGTACATATTTTGTATCAAATATTCCAAAATCATAAGGATAAAAGTACAATAAAAGGAAAATTTCTGATAGTTTTGAATGTCGATCCACCATATTCCAAATCATAAGGGTAATGTGTTACAATATAAGGATAATATTTGATCTTTTTGTATGTCAAATCACTATATTCCAAGTCCTAAAGATAATATATAAGGATAATATTTTGTAAGTTGTTTTACTGTATTTCAGGTCATAAGGATGATATTACACTACAAGCTATAGGATAATATTTGATTGTTTTGTATGTCGATCTCAGAGGCGGATATGAATATTCCAAGTCGTAATGAGTCATAATGAGAATTTTACAATATAAGGATAATATTTGATCATTTTGAGTGTCGATACATTAGGTTCCAAATCGTAAGGATAATATTACAATATAACGATATTAGATAGTTTGGATATTGATCCACTATATTTCAAATCATAAATTACAATTTAAGGATAATATTTGATAGCGTTGTATGTCGTTCCACTATATTCCACTATATTCTGAAACGGAATTATTTCATTTTTGTATTATTTGTTATTATTTTATTAATACTTTGAATTCATTTTTAATTTAATGTTCTGTTTTAATTCTAAAGTTTTAATAATTTTGTTCTGCATTTTTGTTTAGTTATATTAGTAGCCTTGGCCTACATCAAGTTAAAAGTAGCCTAAAAACTTTTTAGTTTTAGGAGCCGTTTTACACGATTGAAATTTGGTCGTTCATCTACATGAAAACAGCGTTTTGGGGGCCTGAAAAAGCAAACTTTTGAAAAGTGCAAGTTTTTGATAAAATGTGTAAGACTGCATTTGTGTAATTTCTTCCCGTTATGTTATGTGCACATCATGGATACACCTAGACAAAACAAGAACTAGACTAAAACAACTACAAAAACTTTTGTGTATATGTGAAAAGATGACATAATGCTCATGCATGTTATGTGTTCATTCTATGAGCGCATAAAGTGTTTCTTTACAAAGTGAACAAAGTTTGCAGATGAACGGGGATTGTTTTGACAAAGTTGCTTAATGACATTTTTTTCCCATGAACTTTTAGTTAATAATAACCATCTTGTGAAAAGCAGACTGAAATTATGTTATTCACTGATATTCTTCCACACAAAATCTCCATTGTGAAGCAATCTGTATTTTAACTACTTTATTTTGGATCCCAAAACAGCCCAGCAGGATGTTCACACTCAGGGGGATGAGGCTTTTTATTTGGAACGATAAGGATTCAATTTTCTCTACCTTTGACTTTGAAGATAAGGTCTTGCATCATGGCTTCTGCAGGCTTGAGTGCAGTGATTGATGTTGTTTTTATTTTATTTCCAGTTAAATAAACCATTACCACCAGATAAACCCCTTTAGATGGGACTCACACTGCCAAAAAGCTGACGTGCCCCACAGAGGAGCATTATAAAACTCCCTGTGTTTATTGAAGATATACACAGAGAAGTAGACGTGTTCCTGTTCACATCAATGGAGATTTCATGTCAACCTTTAGAGAGCGTTCTGATAATATGAAAATTGCTCTGGCCTTGAAAGCCCATCAAACCACAAGAACAGCAGAGCTTATAGGTAATAAACTTGTCACTCTCTTATCAGTCAGTTTATCCTTGTACACCATCACTTTCCCTCTACCTGTTCAAGGAGGGTTACTATTATCAATCTGGATGATTCCACGACCTTTGTAATGCTAATATACACAAACTAATAAAGCCTCTTTAATTTTGTCAGCATTTCACAGAATAATTTTTATTTTTTTATTCAGACAAAATAGGTTTATGTTTTGTATTAATTAATTTGTTCAATTAATTAGTCAAGTCAGTCAAATCAGCAAAAGATTCTGTTGTGATATATATATGAGGGCGCATCCCATGGGGCAGAAACAACAGCTATTGTTTTCTGCACGCAAACATGCTCAGCAATTTATCAGAGCAGGTGAATCTAACTACTGACATGAATTGTTCTGGTAGACAAAAATAACCTTTTGTTTGTTTATAAAACATCTCTTCTGCTGATTACACTACTACGTGACTGTAATCATCGCATCCTTTAGGATGACGTGTCTGTGTTTGGATGAAGACTTTCATCAGTGTAACGCATTGTGAATCTCATTGTTGATTTGTTTTAACACTACTTGTTTGGTCCTTACGCAATCTTATAATTCCATTGGTGATATTTCATTCTGTCATATCATGACATTGCATCCAGTAGACTAGATTTTTATATTTTATTATACACTTAATCAGAACATGACAGAATTAAAAAAAAAATGGAATACACAAAAATACTGCTTTAATTTACTCTTATTTCTTCTATCTATCTTTTCCTTTTAACTATCTATCTTTTTTCTTTCCATCAATCTTTTTTCTTTCTAAATATCTTTTTTCTTTCTAACTAATTTTTTTTCTTTCTAACTAATATTTCTTTCTTCCTTTCTAAACTATGCTTTCTTTCTTAAAAAAAAAAAAAATACAAGTCCATACAAGCCAACTTAAAGTTTGTCTCGACAAACTTTTTCCATAGTTTATTTTATACTCGGAATCTTTTGAATATTACACAATTCACATGGTTTAATGCTTGCTACTCATTGGATTTGATTAAACAATCTTCAAAGTTATAGCCCTTTGCTTTACTCAGCATTTGCTTTGCACTCATATACTATGGTTTGCTTAATAATTTTACAGAGATTTCCTCAAGAAGTTGAAAGTAGAACTGCAGCTATTGGATGTAAGTGACAAAGCAATAAACACAAACAGGAATCAAACGCATATTCTTTAGGTCAGATACTTGATGTTTAATCTCACTCAGCACTAGGCAGACCAATAGACAGCCATCTGCTGAGGTTCAGTAGTTAAAAAGTGAATGAACTCAAGATTTTGTATATAAATGAAACACATGTCATGTTTAATAAGAATAAACAACAGGACAACGCTTTAAATATGATGAAGGAACTGAAATTACACCCAATTTTGGAAAGTTGACCAACACGGAATTCAAACCCACAATCTTCGGGTCAGGTGCCTGTCAGTCATCACTTTGCATAACTTGGCCAACACTTATTTACAAAGCTGCCGAAATGCAATAGTTTCAATGAATTCAATAGAATTTTGAAGAAAATGCAGGGCATATTGTATTTAAAAAGTTTGATTAAATCATCCAAAATTGGTCAGATTACTACTCATTACCATTACGTGTGCAAATTTTCCTACTTATAGGGCTGCCACTGACAACCATTCTGGGTGAAGAAGAACAATTAATTTTACGTATTAATTTAGCACTTCATATAGGCCTATGTGGCAGCGTCAGATGAGATCATTCTTAGGCACAATGCCTGGAACAGATGCAACTTCTGCATCTTTTCATGCCACAGTACCTCATGCAGTCTGGGCACGTGTCACACTGAGTGGTGAACCCACGACGCTAAGCATCGGGATCCGTGGTGTAACACTGAGCTAATCACTCATGCGTGTTCACCAGCCTGCTGAGGAGAGGTTTCAGTGTGAGAATGAGTTCACAAAAAAGTTCCATGGCATGTTGAGCAGATTAGCATGCTAAGCTAGCTTAATGCTAATGTAGTTTATGACGTGGTACATCCAATCTTGGCAAAATAGATATCCTCGGATTGGATTTTACATGACACAAGGAATCGATAGACACAATTTTTTTGATTTTGTGACAATGTTCACAAGTTACAGACTCTGAACTAACTCTGGGTCGACCTTGTTAAATTTGCGACATCATAACTTTTTTTTCCAGTATAGCAAAAAAATCCTAACAGTACTTCAATGCGAAAAACAACTTCTGAGATATCGTTAAAATCGGCATAAGCCAATCAATATATTACATAAAATAAATACAAAAATCAAGCAATGTTAGCAAAAGTACTAAGCGTTTTTCATAAAACAATGATATCTCTGGAACACTAGGTGGGGCTGAGATCAAATTTCTCAGGTACCTTCTGGCCATGCTAATGATGATCCGTACCAAATTTGGTGAAGTAGTTTAAAAGATATAGTTTAAATAGTTAAAAGATATAGTTTAGATAGTTTAAAAGATATAGCAAATTATGACAAAATTCAAAATGGCAGACACGTGGTACATCCCATCACGGCATGATGCAAGGAATCTAGATACCACAATTATGATTTTCTGACAAACTGTTAAGTTATTGGCCAAAAAATCAATTTTGCATATCTCATGACCCGTAGGTGGCGCTATTCCCAACTTTGGCATGGAACCTAAGAACATGCTTGTTGTGTAATTTTCGTTTCGATTGATCAAACTGTGGCCGAAATTTCTTATTATATAGCCTAATAATAATAGTAAAACCAATACAATAGGTGCCTCAGCTCCTTCAGGGCTTGGTCTCTAATTTGGCTACTTAATTAAATGTCATAATTATATGATGTTAAAAAGTCGAAATCAATTAAGTAACGTTAGACTTAAGTAAAAGTAGATACTTTTAGGTCGTATGAGTAGGCGAATTGGGACGCATCATTAAGTCTATGCGGACTTTACAGTCTAGAAGCCATAGTAAACTCCGTAGTGGAATTCGAGCGGAGTGGTTGCGTTTTGTGTACAGAGCGGTACAGAGTCGCTCCACTCCACTCATATTCGGAACTCCAGGCCTGTTTTTAGTCTCTTATTTGTTAGGCTATGCTATTAAGTTAGCATTAAGTTTGATGCTAAACGCGCGATTTATTCAGTAAAATTGTCGTTATCTGCTTATTTCTAGAAATGTAACGTTATATTGCTTTAGTAACGTTACTAAATATCAGCCTGTGGTTAATTCCCTACAACATCAAACGCTAAGGAAACATTTATAATGTAACACATTAATGATGTACTATAGCCTATTTATTTGTTTGTTTATCATAGATTATTTGATATTTAAAGCCTAATGATTATGACCAATTATTACAAATAAAATCGCAAGTTATTTGTTTGTGCTTATGTTTTTCTTTATCTTCCGCATGTGTTGAATCATCTTCAATAAAATGCAAGATATTGAGATAAAATATCTCCCTTCATCGAGTGTCAGGGGACAGCAGGGCTCGTTGCATCCGGTGCGCAGGAGGGGAGGGCCGCTGGCGTCTGGCGTCTCCGCATCCCTGTGCTCCATCATCTGAATGAAGCATCTGGAGGAGGGAGTATTTTTGTCAGATCCTCCAGATAACCAGGTTCCTGACTGTCTCTGTCATAGCATATAAATCATGGGGGACACATTGCCTGTCAGACTCCAAGAGAACTGTGCTGGAAGAGAAGGCAACAACCATGATTTTACTCAGACTGTGTGGACTCCTTCTTGCATGCTCAAGACTAATAGGTGAGCTGAGATTTAATTACCTTTAATTCAATTTCTCTGTTTCATATTTACTTGCTTTTTGGATACAGTGGGCCCCAAATATGTGGGTACCTAGATATTAATTAAAGCACATATTAATATTACAATTTCCATTTTTCATAGGCTATTATTTATTTTTTTGCTGACAATATCATGGTAACACTTTACAATAAGTTACAACATTAGTTAACTACTTTAGTTCAAATGAATTAAGAATGAACAAGACTTCTTCAGCATTTATTAATCTATATTAATGCTAATTTGAACTTTTACTAATACATCAAAAATCAAAAGTGGTGTTTGTTAACATTAGTTAATGCACTGTGAACTAACATGAAAAAACAATGAACAGCTGGATATTTATTAACTAACATTAAGATTCACATGTTTTGTTCATTGTTAGTTCCTGTCAGTAAATACATAAAGTAGTGTTAAATAAAGAATCTTTATTGTTAAGTGTTACCAATATCATTTGTATTGAGAATGTTAGATTAAATCAGAAAATATTAGCATTTTCAGAAATGTGAATAAATATAGCTATTTATCCTGTTTGTTGTCCTTATCGCCTTTTACATGTATTTATTAATTTGTCTTTACCTATTTTTTCTTTATTGATATATTTCTCTTGCCATGAAAATTGCCTCAGATGCTGCCATGGCATTAAATCAATCTAGATTTAACACAATTATTTCAACAATTACAGATACTTTGCAGTGATAAATGTGCTTACACTTTCTCATGTGAAGGAGAGATCATGTTTCCCTTTGAAAAGAAAAAGCATTACATTGGTGCTCTGTTCTTTGTAGCTGGATGTCTTTAATCACCTACACAGGAAGAAATATTGCATTGTAAGGGAAGCCGGTCATTTCCAATGTCCATTCTTTTCCTCGTCATCTGTCCAATAATAGAAGCAGAGCTATTTGTGGTTGTAACGCAGTAAAACAGTGCTTTGGCTTGAAAATAATCAGCATTGCCAACTGACTGGTTTCACTGATAAAACTCATGTACAGTGTAAAAATTATTGTTCATGATAAGTGGAATGTGTTTCCTTTTATTTTAGATGCTAAAGTAGCAATCATCGCTAGTGACCCAGATGTGAAGGTGGGAAGCAATGTCCTGCTCTTGTGCAAAGGTTGGTGTGTTTAGTTGAACGGACACAAAGAATGACCCCAAAATATATATCTGGACACACTTAGAAATGTCTTAATGGCTAAGAAAATATCAAACTCATGTTGTTTGGGGGACTTGAACTAAGCTGGTCTCAGTTCTCCTCAACTGTCAACAATATATATATATATATTTTTTTTTTCTTTTTGTTTTTATTCTTTTTTTTTGTTTGCTCTGAATTAAATGCCACTTAGTTTGATGTTTTGTTATCACTGTAAAAAAAAACTACAATAAACTTTTTCAATAAATTTTAAGTACAATCAACTTGGATGTTTAAGTCGTTTCAACTTAAATTACATTAAATTGACCTTAAAAAATGAGTTAAATCTTGCATAACTTAAAAAATAAAAAAAGATGAAAATCGCTGTCATAACTTATTGATAATCATATTGTCAATTTTTCTACAGTGTATGTAATGCACTGACATTAATATATGTCCAAATATTTTGGGGGCCTCTGTATATCACATAACAGTCTGTACCAGTCGAAACATTTTTAATATCAGAGACATACAATGTTACTGTCATAAAATAACCAATAAGATTTTATTTTCTATTCTTTTCTGTCGTTCTATACTGTATGCTGCGGATCAGTTGATTCAGAGGGAGATATCAGTTGGTTGAAAGATGAGGTAGAGGTTGATGAAGATCGCCATGAAGTCAAGAAAAATGACGAGTCCTCGAGTTCACTGAACTTGAAGAGCATTGAGTTAGGTGACAGTGGCACCTATTCCTGTGTGTTTGAGAATGAACACGGCATTACGAAGAGAACGGACTACCAGCTGTATGCCTACCGTAGGTTCCTGAAGACTCGTAATGTTCTGTTATTTTTCTATGAAGCACTGAATCTCCATAATGATTCTCATGTGAAATTCTGTCCTTCAATCAGAAACACCGGACTTTGGCAACACTATGAAATTCCATGAATTTCTAGCGAACCAGACAGTGACCATTCCCTGCTTCGTCTCTGGGAAGCCCGCTGTGGAGATCTACTGGAACCGGAACGGTCGCATCGTGAATGATGACGGTAGGGGTGGTGGCCATGCTGCAGGTTCTTCCAATTATTTATGTGGTATGGGGCTCTCCTCACCTTCCAAGCTCTCTGTGATGAATGGCAGGATGGCTATGGTGGACGAGTCGTGATGGGGTGGGAGGGGCCTGTGCATTCGTTTTCTGGTCGATTTGCAACCAAATCGAGTGATGTTTTCTCGCTAGTTGTCGGGTAAACATGGGTGAACAGTTTGGTTTTGTGTTTTTTCTTCCTGTCTGATAGTGGGATTGAGACCGTAAGAAACAACTCTGAAACATTCAGTCTTGCCCCATTTCAAGTATACGCCACCTAAAACCGAAATAAAAATAAATTAAAGTTATATAGAAATTAAGAAAAACTACAATTAAATAAAATATTTTAAAAACCTAATTCAGCCACCATTGACAACCATATAGAGGAACAATTCACCCCAAAATGGAAAGTCAGTCATTATTTGCTCACCCTCACATTTCTCCTTTAGTGTTTGTTTGGATGTCTTCTTGCACATTTTGCGAATGTACAGTGAGTGTCGCTAACAGCATTCAGCAAGCCATGCATATGGATATGCTCTGTGGTAAAATCATGCACTATGGTAAAAGTGTTTTGAGGTTGACTAAAAATGAAAATTACTAATCATTAATTAGTCACCAACATGTCGTCCCAAACCCGTAAGACTTTCATTCATCTTCGGAACACAAATAAAGATCTTTTTGGTTAAATCTGAAAGGTTTCTGTTCCTTCCATTGACAGATACGCAACTGAGGCTTCATGAAGAGATTGTAAAACTAATCTATATTAATTATTGGGTTTAGTCAAAATTTTCTGAAGTGACTTGATCGCTTTATATGATGAACAGATTTAATTTAGGCTTTTATTCACATATAAACATTGATCAACGTGGTAAACCGAAGCTCAAGCATGTGTTCTTGCATTGATGTAGCTTCGTAGTTGCATAGCTGTTAATGGAGGGACAGAAAGCTCTAAGATTTCATCAAAAAGATCTTCATTTGATTTCTGAACATTTGATTGATTTCTGACTGGAACGACATGATGGCGAGTAATTAATGACAGAAGTTTAATTTTTGTGTGAACTGTCCCTTTAATTGTAATGATAATTTGTCTGAAAACTGAACGGGAGCAAAAGTTGTTGGTGTTTTACAGCCTCTAGTGAAACTGCAGTGAATTAATATCAATTTGGATGTTTGTTTTTTTTACCCCCCCAATGAGGTACATTGCAAAATAATGACATAATTTTAATTTTGGGTGAGCTGGCCTTTTAAGAGTGTGCGTGTGGGCTTTTAAAGGCTTCGTCTCATGATTCTAAAGTAGTAACATTGCATCGTTGACACTGATCATGCTCTTCTCTTTGTACAGGCCAAGGTCATCTCAAAATCCTGCCTGATAGATCCCTGCAGATTGTGGGGATTCAGCCAGACGACCGTGGAATCTACACATGTGTAGGCAAGATCAAGGGACGCCCCATAACAAGGGAACTCCAGATTTCTGTTGTTGTTAATGGTGAGGACGTAGAGGAGCTAATCATATATGTTCTTCTTAGTGTGGCAAGAATATGTACCCTAAAATATCTGCCTTAAATATCCCATTCTCCAGAGCCACCCACCGTACTGATTCATCAGGAGAGAACGAGTGTGTCTGCCGGACCCAATACCAGTGTGTCTATAGTCTGCCTGGTCAAAGGAGTACCCACTCCAAATATTTCATGGAGACTGTATGTATATCAAGAGAAAATGCTATAATTTTTATTCATGCTTACCCATCATCCTTAGTCTCAGTCTCAATCTACTTTTGAAATCCAAAGTTTGTCCACGATATGTTAAAAATAATCCATCTAGACTACTTAAGGCTCCATTTCAAAAATTAGTGAGCCTCCATACCTCCATAGGCAGCATCAAACCTACCTAACAAAACTATTTTTTAAATGTCTAAAAAAATCTTGGTTATACGAACGTTAAAGGACCCCATAAAGGGACATGGTGATAGAAAAAATATAATATACAAATATTTCAATGCTTTTGCGTTCTCTTTGCATTTCCCTGAGAAACTTTGCTCAAAAGTTTGCATAATTAATTATGTTTTGATATAAACTATTGTATTAAATCAAGTAAAAAAAAATAAAATACGTTTTTTCCCATAAGCATTTCTATCATGTTCTTAGTTAAGCAGAATGGTGATGTTAAACTTATTTAAATCATGGCAAGGCAGCTCACTAGGTTTTGGAAAAGAGCCTGTATGTGTTTATTCGTATTTTTAGTCTCAGTCTGTGTTTGTATATTTGGAGCTTCCTTTAGTCTCTTAGTTGTTATTTCTCCTCCCATGAGTATATTTGTGTTGTAGCGATGAACAATAGTGGCAAAAAGACTGAATTTTTGCATCTCTCCCCTCAGCCCTTCCACCTTTGACGACTCGCGTTACAAATACAACACTGATAAGAGTGCGCTCACCATCTCTGCAGTGACCAGGAGCGATTTTGGAGAGTATATCTGCACGGCTAACAATAAGATCGGGGAAAACAGTGCCACGTTTACTCTGGATGTCTCAGGTGAGACAAGGCCCTCTTGGAAGACTCAAACCTTGAATAAAGTGATGTGTTTGTACTTGGCTGAAAGCATCGAATAAGGGCAGTTGGTCTGCATAATATGTTTTTAACCAATACCAAAACCCAACATGATATCAATTGTCACTATTTACGATCTTAACGACTTGTTCAGGTCTGTATGGCCAGTAAGCTCTGTCAGTTAGCCCATTCATGTTGTAAAATGATAAATAATGGACTTTTTGGATGGCGACATCCATTTTTATGATCCAGTCAATCAATTCCCGATGGATAAAATCAAGACCAGCGTCAAATCAAATGGGATGTGAATGTTGGCTTTAAACTGCAGTAAATATATCTGCTTATGGCACAACTCTTTTTTTTTTTTTCTTCGTTTTTTATCTATTTTGTTTAGCCAAGGAAGCCTTTTTTTCTCCCTTGAAGTCAGATGTTTATTATAGTCGCAAACACAGATACGGGGAATGTGATCCCATGCAAGCATCACATTGACACTTTCCAATAGGCCAGAACCAAACAAAACTATTGTAGGATAATGGAAATATAAAATAGATTTTTTTATACACAAATACATATCTGCAGTAGTTGGCGTAATTTGTATTTTGTTATTTTGTGGTTTAGCTTTCGAAGATTAGTTTTGTTTCATTTTAGCTCGTTCTGTTGATCATTTTCAGAGCGTCCAACTATAGACTTGGATCCAAGAGAGCTGACCATTATACCAGGAGAAACTGGATCTGTGCTTTGCAATGCCACAGGACATCCAACTCCAACCATACAATGGGTCAAGAAGGCTACCCAAGAAAAAATGGTGAGGAACATCTAAATATCTTCTCCGTTTCCATTGGTTTTTGCAATTGAAAAAACGCTTAGCTTTGGAAATATGTTTAAGGCAATCAAATCTTGTCTCAAACCAATGGGAAAACATGGAAAATGTATTATAATTAGATTTTAATTTTCTTTGACGGTAGTGACGACGACGAGGGATTCTGTATCTACAGGAAGTGTGAGCCATGTGCAGTACTTTTCTGTTCGGTCTTAATTATCTCTTCCTGTCTCTTATTGTCTTTCCTGTTTGCATGAACATGTGTGGGCAGACGAGTGTGGAGAGATCTGAGCTAATTTTTGAAAATGTAGTGCCCTCTGATGGTGGCGTGTACTCCTGCATAGCCAGCAACATGGTGGGCACAACCACTGCGGACTTCCAGCTGATAAGTAAGGCTCTTTTAGTGGCTTCAGGAATTTGAACTCCAAGAATAAGTCTGTCTTCACCATACATGTATACATATGTATATGTGTTGTGTGTGTCTGTGTGAGAGAGAGATAATTGAATCATATAATGATTAATATAATATATATCATATATTTAATGTAAATATGCATCCTTGATGATTTCAACAGTTCTTTGCCATCATGCATTACATTTGATAATGGTGAAGTTAACAAACTTTATATAAACAACACTGGTCCAGAAGCACTTCCTGTTTCAGTTTTTTTTAACACTACACAAAAGGTGGGATAAAATACAACCAACAGAACATGTAAAACTGAATCAAAAAGTTAAACAGTTTTCTTTACATGTGAAATAAAGAAAACAGTTACAAACTGAAACAGGAAGTGTTTCTGGACCAGTGTTGTTTACATCTAGCAAAATGGTCTATATTTATTTCGGCATAAACTTTCTATATTGCTTCTTCTCATTAATAACTTCTCTTCCTCTCTCTCACAAGCCTGGCCTGGGACACCCGCTCGGTTCAGTGTGACCCCAGGGTCCTCATCTTCTGTCCTCATCCAGAGTGTCTCGGTGCAGGATGGAGGGTCTTCCATTACCCAGTACATCCTTCAGTGGAAGAAACCGTCCGAAGAAACCTGGAGTCAAAGTGTCGTCAAGCCCACAAGTAAATAAGTGACTATGAGAAGTGTGGTTTGTATTGTGATGCTTTTTTAAATTCAAATATGTGATGAAAAAACGTACATTTGTAGATCCCCTGCTGATCAAGGGCCTTGAGCCGTACACAGAGTACTCAGTTCGCTTGGCGGTCAAAAACTCGCATTACCAGGGGAACTTCTCCACAGAACACATGGTCCTCACACAGTCTCAACGTGAGTATCCTCTCCTGTCTGTTCACTTAATCTATCTGTACTTTTAAATCTCAACTCAAGACTCATCTATTCACCCTGGCTTTTAACACCCTGTAATCTGTCTTCCTGTTTTTTCTGTTTTTATTATTATTATTATTATTATTATTATTATTATTATTATTATTTTTTTTTTTTAGTGCCTTCTTGTCTCATTTAGTTTTAAGTTTGTATTGCAGTTTTATATCTGTGTCTCTTTTATTCCTTGTAAAGCACTTTGGTCGACCTCGGTTGTGTTTTAAATGTGCTCTATAAATAAATGATTGATTGATTGATGATTGACTTAATCTGCTGCTTATCCACCATTTTTGATGTTGATAGCTATTATGAATATCTATCTATCTATCTATCTATCTATCTATCTATCTATCTATCTATCTATCTATCTATCTGTCTGTCTGTCTGTCTGTCTGTCTGTCTGACTGTCTGTCTGTCTGTCTGTCTGTCTATCTATCTATCTATCTATCTATCCATCTATCCGTCTATCCATCTATCCATCTATCCATCTATCCATCTATCTATCTATCTATCTATCTATCTGTCTGTCTGTCTGTCTGTGTGTCTGTCTGTCTATCTATCTATCTATCTAGTAATTAGCACATTTACCATGTTTAAATCCAATCTGCAGATTTGCCACAAAATCAGAGCAGAAAATGTTAAAACATCTGCAGATTTTTTGGTCTACAGTCCAAATATCAGTTTTTAATAATGATAAGACATTTTATTGCAGTTGCTGTCATGTCATGCTGTCATTTTTGTCATGCATAAATGCCTGTTTGCTCATCACATATGTTCATGATTTGCTTTCGCTGCCCATTCTTTCTCATTCCTGCTTGACGATGACCATTCTCCATGCATTACGACCTGCTCCTGGTCCCGGGGCCCGTCCATTGCCTTATTCTGACCTTCCTTTGTAGATGGTAAATCAACATTTTGAATGCATACATCTCCAGTTGATAGGCTAAAACACAAGCCTAATTGTTCACTGTGATATAGAAGTGTGAAAATGAGTTTGCCTACATGGTTTCATTGCTGAAGAAAGTGGAAAACATAGTAAATTCTACTTAAGGTTTTCTTCAGCATGAAATACATTTTGGTCTGCTGATATCATACATCTATACTGTAGTGAATGATTTTGGAGCTTATCCACTGGATTGTGAAACCCTAATAACTTAATATAATATTCTCATTGATTTTAATGTTCTGTTTATTTGCCCATGACTAGTTTGTGAAAATATTGTAATCCTTTCCTTTAAACTTAACAAAATCAGTGTGAGAGTTTTTAAGCTTGGTTCATTAATGTGAATCAGTTCACACATTTCAGTTCAATGCTTCAAAACACTGATTTAGTGATTCATTCTTCATGCTAGTCTTCCTTGCGTTTATTAAGTGAATTAGTACAATGTAAAACATGCATTTACTATTTTTAACTAGATTTTTTACTGTATTTTAGATTATTTTTTTTAAAGAAATGACTACTTTTATTCAGCTGCATTAGGATGCATTAAATTGATCAGAAGGGACTGCAAAAACATGTATAATGTAACCGTTATTGGTTTCTTTTTCAATTAAATACTGTTGTTTTTACTGCTATTCATCAAAGAATCCTGAAAATTGTTTCACTGTTTACGAAAAATATTATGTTTCATTGACAATTAAATGTTTCTTGCTCGTTAAATCAGCATATTAGAATGATTTCTGAAGGATCATGTGACACCGAATGATGATTCAGCTTTAGATCACAGGAATAAATTACATTTTAAATATATAATCAAATAGAAATCAGGTATTTTAAATGATAATAATATTTCACAATATTACTGTTTTTACTGTATTTCTGGTCAAATAAATGCAGCCTTGGTGAGCATAAGAGACTAACAAAAACATCTTACCAACCCCAAACTTTATAATGTTAGTGTGCATCAAATATTGTCGAAATGAGATTGAAAATATCATGATGAAAATTCACCCAGCCCTAAGATCAACCTGTTACACTATTTCTTTGTTCTCATGTTTCTTCTTTTCCTCATTTAGGGGAACCCGACAGTCCCGTTCTGTCTCTGAACGAGAAAAAGTTGGAGAAGAACTCCGTCTCCATCCCCATTAAACAGCTGGAAGACGGAGGCTCTCCCGTCCTACACTACGTTGTGCGCTACAAAGGGGTCAGTCCGAATCACTTTATCATATCTTTCATGTTTTTTTTAAATTAAATTTGTGAAGTACAAGCCTTATATCAGCGTAAAATGTGCCATTTCGAATAGAACAAGGAGAATGAGGAATGGACTGAAAAGAAAATTCCTGGAAACTCCAGCAGAATCCAGCTGAATGATCTCCAGTACAACGCTGAATATCAAATGGAAGTTTATGCAGTAAACCACAACGGCTCCTCAAGCACTGCCAAAATTAACTTCACCGTCCCACAACCTGGTAGGATTGATTAGAGCCAGCCAAATATTATATGCTTAAACAAATTCAAGCTCAACTGATTCCCCTTTCTCCTGCAGTCAGTCAGCCGTTGCTTGGGAAAGGTGGTGTGGTGGGAATAGTAATGTTCATCTTCTTGCTGCTGATGGTATCAGTAGATGCTTTCTGTTGCTACACCAACCACTGCGGCCTGCTTAATTTCCTCGCTCGTAAACTATTTGGACACAAAGTGCCAGAGTCTAAAGGGATGGATGAAGAGGCGAATAATTCAAATGGGTAAGATAACTTTATCCTTCGATGTTTGTGTTGCAGAGATACACAATACGATTGTTCTTTTCTATCCTAGTTTTTCTACAAAGAGCCATGTTAGATCATGGTGATTGCATATAGTTCTTTTAAAGGAATAGTTCACCCCAAAATTTGGTCTCTTGATTTCAAAAGACAATTTTATACAAGAAAAGTGGATGCAAAAAAAAAAAGACAAATAGATAAAATTATAACTTTAATCTCCAAGATCTGTACATATGTCCAAAGTCTGAAAAGTCCTTGCATCATTTTTATTTTTGGGTGAGCTATTCCTGTATGTACAGTATACACACACACCAAGATGTGCAAAAAATTGTCCGAAAAGTATAAATAATTGAATTAGTATAAAAAGAATTCAGTTATAATTGTATTACTCACTGTTGTGAACTTGAATTTATGTCATGATGGAAACAACAAAAATGAAAACATTAAAAAGCCGATTATAACTGAAATGATGACAACACAGCATTATGGTTGACATAATTAAGGTTATTTAAAGTGTAATGTAAGACAAACTAACAATGAAGAATAAAATATCTTTGCATTTTTTTCAAATATTGGTTAATTTGTACATAGCCAAATTCTCCTTTTGAACTAAATAAATAAATAAATAAATAATAAAATATTTGTATTAATGAATTTTTAACAATACCTTAAAACCGTATTTTGAAGTAACAAAATGTTAATAAATGCTATAAAAATATTATTTTTGAATATTTTAAATGCACTCACATGCTGTGTGTGTGTGTGTATATATATATATATAAACAAAATGGTTAACACTTAATATTAATTATAGAGCGGTTAGTTCCAATCCTTAATTCTGATTGGTCAATAGCTGTGCTTTATTCATGATAAAACATGGCTATGAGCGCTTCGCCCAACGGTTCTCTTTATCACTGCGCAACACCTTAGCAACCACCCGTATCTAAGGAAACACTGCTGAGCCCCAACTAAAGACAAGTGCATCGAATACCAGCACAGTGGAGCCAATTGAAATGAGACACATTTAATGAACGCACAATAAACGGAGATGTTCAAATAAATTTAAATAAACAACTATGAAAAAAATGTATCTCGTTAGGCAGCATTCCAGGAACTAAATTAATAACATAAATACAATTTATAAAATAGGCTACCAATCAAAATATGTGCCCTTGTGTTTTATTTATGTGAATATTTAGTAAGGTTTATTTTTAAGTGCAGAGAGAAATTAATGTAATAAACGGAAAATTAATGTTAATTGTCTTGTCTTGTGTGAGGAAATATTACATCCTGTGTTGTTAAAAAAAAAAAAAAAATTTTGAGAACTATGTTTTACTTGAGCTTTCATGGATATTACACATTGGAACATTGTTGCTGTTCACGGTCAGGCACTATTTTTTTCTAGCGGAAGGAAGGATTTTAGTGATTTTACTTCATGAAAGTTGTACTAATACATATATATATTTTTTTACTTTATTATTTTTATTGTGTGGTAAATGTTTTATAAAAGCAATAAGGCACTCGAGACTAGTGCTGTATCGTGAATAAGTCACGGTACAGTACAGCCTCTATATATACATACATGTATATACATTCATGTGTAAGTGTCGCTTATATTTTGACACAAGTCGGAGTCAATGACTCTTCCAGTGTTTTTTAAACAATGTTTTCCATCTATACGTCCAATTTTCAAGGTTTGCCTTTAGACAGATCTACTGTTTGCTGCGTGTGATTTCACGGCTCTTCAGTCCTAATGTGTACTTTGATACAGAGACATGAAGCTGAGCGGTCTAACGCTTCCACGAGGCAGCATCCCAAAGCTTCAGGCACCCAATGGGGCAGTGAATGGCGTTCATTCAGAGGTCACGTGTGACAAAGCGCCTCTTACCAAATTCGAGTAGGTGCCAACCTCAAAGGGCTGAATGCAGCTGGGCATCAAAGCTGTCATTCACAAAAAAATGGCATGTGGGTTTTGTGTATGCACCCAGACTTTAAGGACTAATTCACCCAAAAGAATTACTATTTTGTCATCATTTACTCATCCTCAAGCTAAATGTGACTTACTGTAGGAGAGTTAGTCTGAGCTAATTAGGGTACGTTAACACGACAATGATTTACTAAAAATGCAAAAATGCTTTTTTGCATGCAGACGACAACATTGTAAAAATGATCCCCGAAAATGACTAAAAACACTGTATTCTTCTGCCAGGCCAGTAGTTGGCGATGTCACTTTGTAAAGAAATACTACGTGCCGCTAGCCTGGCTAACGCCAGACCACGTATCATTGAAAATGAGACGTGGTCTGGAAAACACATCTCGTATTTGAGGCGTGGTTTACGAATGCCCAGAGCCGTATTATTGGGTGTTACGAATGTCTATCAAATGCGCCTGCTCATAGCCAATCGTTTCAATTATACCAGATGACATATGTAGAGCGACAGAAAATTAGACGAGGAAGAAGACGATGGGACACAAATGCTGTATCTATCACAAGGTATTTTCGCATCTGCTGCCAAGATGGATCCATAGATATAAACAAACTGCTTCGGTGTCGCATGTACGTCGTCATCGTCTTGCCGCTCCCTCCCCGTTCTGTGATTGGTTCCCTATCTCAGGCGAAAATTTGGTTCATGGTGTCCAGGCTGCCTAGCAGCGTGAATAAAATCGCGCCGCGGCAAGGCAGCTTGGGGTCATCGTTTTCACAAATTCGCATTTTTGTGGTGACGATAATGGTATTGTTTTCAAAAAGCTGCTCGTTGAAGCCCGTTTTCAAAACTTTTCATTTTCAGGCCTTAAAATTGCACTATCGTGTAATTAAACGGTCAAACTGCATAACATGTTTTAAGTTTTTAGTTGAAAATGGTGTCGTTTGTACAGATTCAAAAAACATGAAATACCATTAAATAGTAAACAATGAGTAAATGATTGCAGAATTGTATTTTTTTGGAGAACTATTCCTTTTAGCCATGATGTAACTTACTCATATTGCCATTTCTTTATCCCATGTCCCACAAGTTTTATTATTTTCTCTATTATCAATTCCCGCTGAAAAAAATAAAATAAAATAAAACAATTCAGCTGCCTAATTAACCCAGAAAGCAGTTTTTTGTATTCTTCTGTCATTTGCACTGTAGAAATAATGATATATTCCCTCTTTTTTGTAGGAAGAAACCAGAATCTGATGATCCAACAGGAGAGGCATAGAAGAAGAGATTTTACAAGAGAAAATTTAAATTCACAGAGTGAAGAAATTTCACACAAATCTCGAGATATCCGATTTTGAGTTTAAGGGTGAAGTGTGTCTTTTATCTTTTTTTGTGTGTTAAAGTACTATAGATAATCCATTTGTAGTCAATGAAGGTTTAAACACTATGGCTCTGCGGTGCTATGAAAACATTGCTGTGTTTGTTTGAGCATCTCGACAGGCCCAAGATAGCAAGACCGGCTCAACCAATAGTGTGAGATTTGGGGCGGGACTATCTGTTTGGCCGACCAATGACAGATGGCGGAGTTTTTTAAAAGATAATAAAAATTCTAGCACAGAAATGGCACGCTTGACCTTAAAGTGATGTAGTCCGGAACAAATATCATGAAGATGACTGTTATTTGCAGGAACACGTTCGAGATTTAGATTATGCTTGTTATTAAATGTAGGGTGTTGAAAGCATTATCAGTGTGATCTAGCACAGTAGATAGTGTACATGACAAACGCTGCTTGAGCTGAATGTATGTGAGCAGATAAATAGTATAATATGATGTTGATATTTTGAAGTATAAAATGAATGTCATAATGGGAGTATATTTCTTAGATGCATCACTAGTGTTAATTTATTTTGCATAGTACTTATGCTTGTAAAATCTTGATTAAAGGAGTTTAAAGGGTTTTTCATCAGGATAAGTTAATGGTGACAGAATTTAAATTTTTATGTGAACAATAATAAAAATGACCCATTTTAATATAGATATAACTATATTTAAGCATTTTATTTTTTAACAGTGTTATTTCAAAATCATATATTGTTACATAAATACATAATGTATGTTTTTGGGGGGGTCAAGCAACGTTAATCGTGGATGTAAATAATGAGATGCATGCAAAGATGTACATATAGATTTATTAATACTTTTTTACCTTCACTGTACATTGTATATATTATTTCTTTAATGCTTTTATATTCATTTCAATGTTTGAACTATTTCTTTTAAATAAAAAGAGAGAAATATCTACAACGCCTGGTTACTAAAGCTCATTATTCATAGAGATTCAGTCACTCTTTATAACTAAGAAGGCTGTAGATCACGACATCACGGGTGTTGGAAAGTGGTCTAAAAAACAAACAATAAAAAAATTTATTAGACAGTTTTTTTTGTTTAAAATGATATATATATGATGACTGAACCCATCATCATCAGGCTGGTGATGCAACATTTATTCATTACCTTTCTGAGTTTGATGACGGTAGCATAAGATCTGCATATATCAGGTTGGTATGACTTTTTTCAGACTTTGGTGATTGTCTCAGGTTCTCATAGATATCCTCTGTGACAGTGACTGCTGGTGCCTGATCAAATATAAAACTAGATATTGATTCATTTCCACTTTTGACATTCTTTCAACTACACATGCCATCTTACTCTCATTAGAGTATTAGACTGTCTGCTTTACATTTGTTTTATTTTGATGCTCCCCAACAGGCATTCTACTGACTATAAGTAACTTTTCAACAGACATGCAACTCATTAGTTTGGAACTATATGTCAAATAACTCTTACTGGTAGACTGTTTGGTTATTAGGTTACTGTATCAAAGTTACTAATATTAATGGCTAATTAATAGTTAATGGCTCGTTTCCACTGAGTGGTACGGTACGGTACGGTACAGTTCGGTTCGGTACGCAATTATTTGCGTTTCCACTGTCAAAAGTTGTGAATGGTACCAAAAAGCCGAACCGTACCGTACCACTTTTTGGGTACCCTTCCGTAGCACAGTGAAAGGGTACTAAAAGGTGGAGCTAGACTCACTGCAGAACGCTGATTGGTGGACAGAGTATCTTCACTCGCGCGTGCTACAGGGCATTAGAAGCATACAGTTGAAATATAATTCTACTGTTATTTTGTCACGAAATGTAGTTGTAAGAATTTCTCAGGCGAGAAAGTATTTTTTAAAGCTCAAATCTGTGGTTTATTTATAGATTTATGATCATTTGACTGAGATCCATTACAAGCGATCACCGGACGCTCGCGCTCGTGTCCCCCGGCCGCCTGGAACAGCCTTTCCTCGGCTAGTCGTTCTGATGTTTGCCGCTGATTCGGACGTCTCTGTAGTGGTTAAACATGAGATATAGTTCGTCTTGTATAAACCTAACAGGCTATCTTTGGTCTCGTGAATCTATAATTCGTTCCCTGGCCAATAGTTTTGGCAGAAGGCTACGTGAAGTTTCATATCTTTCGGCGCTGAATTTATAGCCTATTTGACTGACTGAATTGTTTATGTTATTAAAGCTTTACTGTATATCTTTTTGTACCTTTTACTTATACTTTTATAATGGCTATTATTGATAAAACTGAAATTCAACAAAAAGAGATAGTTTTGTCATTTTTTTTTATTACAAGATCATCTGTTGTTTATTGCAACATTTGTACCAATGCGATATGCAATGCATTGCATTACACATTGCCTGGAATATGTTTAATATTTTTACATTTAAACGAAAAGAGGCCGGGTTGTTTTATATTTAGTTTTGTTATAAATATAACGTTACATACATGCAGTGATAATCAATAGGCTATGCGTTGCCTGAACCACATTTATGTGCTTTAGAATGTTTAAAATGTATTGAAATGAAATCGAAAAGAAGCAGAGTGGTGTTTTATAACATATTTCGTTTTATTGTTGCCTAAAATGAACGAGATAACCGGAGTTGCAGAGCGAGCAGTACTGGACTCCCGTCCTCGGGATCATTCTCCTGAGTCGGACTTTGCGTTGGCTTCTTGGAAACGCCTAATGCCCGCGCTTGTTTCTAGTGACAAACATGCCGAGAAGCAAGAACAAGATCTGCTGTCTGTCATCCATTCTTGTTTACTATGTCACTTTCTTCGCGCGAAAATTACGTCGATCGCTTCTTTCCAGCATACCACGCCTATCAAGTAAGGGTACTGTTGGCGGTGGAAACGCAAGCCTGATCATGGTGTACCCGACCCGTACTGTACCGTACCGTACCCCTCAGTGGAAACGAGCCATAGTATGTCTGTTGGGGAGCATCAACATAGCAGATATTAAGCAGACAGTCTACTTATACTCCGACTACTATGTTGACATGCAGTTGGTGGACTGTCACAATAAAGTGTAACCATATTTACAAGTGCAGAGGCATCTTGCTTGTTTAAAATCAGATGCATTGTTAATGTGATTAAATACCTGTTCTGTGTGCAGCTTCTTTTGTGTTCTCTGTTTCCTCCTGTAAATATGTGAACAGATTTGCAAATAGTTTTACAATATCAATATATGACGTGTTTGCCTTCAAAATCCATAAAATTAAGATAAGTAATTATAATATTAGTTGTTAATTCAAGATGATCCAAATACCACACTCTAGTCACAAGATTAAGAAACAATGATTTGCGTAAATCGGTTAGTAGCTGCTATAGTGCAAGACGTTGTGTAAGATTGAGATTACCAGATTAAGATTACTAGAGCAGTGCAAAACTGAATGCAGTGATGATGATGATGATGATGATGGAAAGTGATGAATGATCACAGCACGGCTTGTGAAATATGTGGTGTAATTTCCACAAAGTACAAACAGTTCCCATTTAACTCATGAACTGCACGTTCTCTTAGAATTTCAACATAGGCCTAATGTTTATCCACTCACCTTATAATAAGAAACAGGACTAACAGTACAGCTATTACAAAGAAAAACACAGCTGTTGCAGTCAGCAAGATATGTCCATTACTAGTAGGCACTGTTGAAACAAACAAACAAAAAGTTTGGGTAAACAGTCACCAAAGTTACAGTTTAACATTATTTTTTACTCAAAATTACATTTTAAAATTGGAAAAAGTTTCTGGACACCCCTCACATGATATTTCTTTTTTTTTTTAAATATATAAATATCAGGCAGTATCCAATATACTGCACAATATTTCGTAAGCATTAAAGGAGTAGTTCACTTTTAAAAAAACTTTTGCTGATAATTTACTCACCCCAATGTCATCCAATATGTCCATGTCTTTCTTTCTTCAGTCGAAAATAAATTAAGGTTTTTGATGAAAACATTCCAGGATTTTCGCCCCATATAATCTAAGACTTCAATGGGAACCAAATGAGTCAGTCCAAATGAGAGTTTCATTGCAGCTTTAAAGGGCTTTAAACGACACCAGACGATTAATAAGGGTCTTATCTAGCAAAACGAGGGTCTTAACTATAAAACGAAAAAGTTTTATAAGCTCAAATGGTCGCCTTGCTCTGTTCTGTGATGAGCGTTCGTGACTCTCCTGTTCGAACTCGTTCATCAAAATGAACAAATCTTTTTTCGAGTCATGACTCGAAGGGTCCTAGATAAGACCCTTATTCATCGTCTGGTGTCGTTTAAAGCCCTTTGAAGCTGCACTGAAACTCTCATTTGGGCCTTGAACCGTTTGGTTCCCAATGAAGTCCATTATATGGAGAAAATCCTGGAATGTTTTCATCAAAACCCTTAATTTCTTAAGAAAGACGTGGACATCTTGGATGACACGGGGGTGAGTAAATTATCAGCAAAAGTGAACTTTTTTTTAAAGTGAACTACTCCTTTAAGCCAGTATTTCACTTCCAAACACAACCTAAGACTTCATTTCTTTCATTGTGAATATTCTACCTTTGACATTCAGTGTTATGATTGTAGAGTTTTGAGAACCCATGTCATTTTTGGCTGTGCAGAAGTACTGTCCATCATCCTTCTGACTGGCAGCTTTGATGGAGAATTCACAATCAAATCCTATAGAAGAGATGTGTGCATCTCTGATCTTAAACCAGGTGTAGTTTGTCACTGCAGGATTGGCGTTGCTCTTACAGATCAGAGTCAGGGAGTTTCCTTGTTCTATCTTTCCAGATGTCAAAATGGTTATTTCAACATTCTTCGGACTATCTGTGGGGAGAAGCAACAGGATCTGTATTTGTAAGAGAACTTTGAAATATGTGGAGCAGTTGAAATGAGAATGAGATGTTGCCTAAATATGACACAATTATTAGTGAAATCAATCTTCCTCATTTTGGCTAATTGTCCGTTTAATGTTTACAAATGGCTTCATATTTCGACGATGGTATTCTGTAAGATATATTTTACATTCTGAATCTGATTCTTACAAGACAGTTTTTCTCTATTCTTCGCCCGTTTCCTTCCACATTTGTTGTACCATTGTTTTCCTGCCACCGTAGTGAAATGCGCACACATGAACTGCAGTGACGTAACTGTGACGTCAACTCCCGATTGGTCCATTCGAAATCATTTGTAACATTATGAAGGCCTTGACAATATTGATCAATTGCATGTGTTCTTGTTGAATAAAAGTATAGCATATTCATTTATTTTAAACTAAATCTTACTGACCCCAAACTTGTAGGCCTATATTCGGAACAGTCTTTGCATCAGGAGTGTGTGATGATGTCTTAAAATATTACCAACTTACACTCTAAAAAATGCTGGGTTGTTTTAACCCAATTTTGGGTCAAATATGGACAAACCCGAAATGTTGGGTTAAAAATGTAATGTAAAAATTTAACCCAACGGCTGGGTTAGTCCATATTTGACCCAAAGTTGGGTTAAAACAACCCAGCATTTTTTAGAGTGTAGACAGCTTACTAGGTTTTTATACAAACCAACCCAAGGATGTTTTTTTTAATGTTTTATTGCCCTGGGTTAAATGTAAACTTACATCTCACATCAAGCAATATTTCATCTGCTAAAGTTGGTCTGCTGTTCTTCAGACCACAGGAGTAGTTGCCAAAGTCATTGTGCGAGACAGAAGAGATTTGAAGCACATGCTCAGTGGCTTGAGGAAGAAGAAGCTGGTTTTTATACCAGGCAAACAGCTCTTGTTGCGGAGTACAGGTTTCTGTGCTGCATCTCAATTTTACAGAGTCTCCTTCATGGATGTGTCCATTCACATTTTGACTGGTCACAGTTACTCTGAAAGGTAGAACTGTTAGAAGTGGTGTAGATTAATGAAATGTTACCAGAAAAATATTTAATGGTCAACAGTGTTAATTCCATCCTGGTCTAGTGGTGGACCGGCAGAATTTAAAATTTAGAAAAAATTGGTCATTTCATTTACCTGCTACATCAAGGTTTATGCCACCCAATCCAGTGAACTTTTCAAGATTTGTTTCAAAGCGAAAGAAATATTTTCCTATGTCACTTTTGGAGACATTGTGTAATCGCAAGGAGCAGTTTTTGTCTTGGTTTGCATACGCTGTTCTGTCTTTGTACAGTTGGTCAGTATCTGCCGGATTTGAGTGATAGACAAATATTCCCTCCTGTGATCTGTCTTGTTTCTGATAATTTCTTGGTTTGAACCATTTTGCAGTTTTAAATGTGTATCGATATGGATAATCAAATGAGCAGGTGAAATCCACAGATGATCTTTCAAAAACACACATGGCATGAGGTTTGTATGAAACTGACCATAAAGCCAAAACAGCTGAAACACACACAAAAACACACATTGCTCTAATCATTGCTCCAGATGAATCTAATAGACAATAAAAGATCAGATTTGACCAACAAGTACAGCAGTAAACTCAGTAGTCACTCACAGTAGTTAAAGTTAATTTCGGGGTTTATGACCAAATAATTTAAATGATATTTACAGTATATATATATATATATATATATATATATATATATATATATATATATATATATATATATATATGCCTATATATGTATGTATATATATATATATATATATATATATATATAGCCTATATATATATATACATATATATATATAGCCTATATATATATATATATATATATATATATATATATATATATATTTAAAACTACTCAAATAAAACAATAACTCACCTGATAGAGGCAGCTGCAGTAATATGCTGATGAAAAACATTAGTTGTCCCTTCAGAGGTTTTGTCTGACTAAGAAATCACTTGCTACCTTAGATACTCAGTATTTCCCCACGATAGGCCTAATATACTTAAGCTTGCGTCAATAAACGGATATCCTTGCTATGTGGAGAAAACGTCCTTAAATCAGTGCTTGTACTTTAATTCCATTATTTTACGCTTTAATGATAAAAAACACTGTTAGAGCATGACTGTCACAGTCTTTCTTTAGTCTAACAGTTTTTGAGGATGATTTTTACACTAAAAATAATTTAAACAGGAACTCGATGCAACAATTCAATAAATTTGAAGGTTGATGGAAAAGTTATTCTCAGTTTTGCCCACAATACTGCATTTTTTCCCAGTATATAGCGCCCTCTGCTGTCAAGGCAAAAGAAGCCTTATAAAATTCTCAATATGTTCATCATTTACCCGAACAGTGAAATTAACCAAATTAAATTAGTTTATTTCAATCAAATATTGCTAAAATATCAACATGCGAAGATTAGTTTTAGTGTTTAATCTCTGCTTTTTTTTTTCTAGGAGTTGTAGTGGACTGGAGATTTCGGACACAGCCATGATCTCATTTTCCTGCGCGCTGCGCCGAGGAAGGACCGATTAACTTGTGACGTAATTCCTCTGCGCCAAGACAAGCGGTGTCGTTGAGGAAAACAAATGATCCAGATCCCTTCATCTGTTGTTTAATTTTATTCCTGCATATTGACTTGAATTTCTTCATAAGGGCGGTTTCACGGCGAGTATGTATTTAGCTGAGAGTAGTTGACTTCAATTGAGCTTTAGATGAAGTTTAATTCAGTTTGGACGGAGCTTAAAACGTTTGGAATCTAAACATTATTACAATTACTAATTATTAATCGATTCAAACAATGTTTCTGCTGTATTCCTGTAAGCTGGACAACTGAGCGCAGCTTACCACAGATGCTTATATTTATTTGAGTTATACCTCTTAAACTCTAATAAACTATGTATTATCTTTAAAAGAGATGCACTGGTTGTGTTTCAAAGCTTAGTGAGCTTCCTAGTTAGACTTTTTAGGGCGTGCAGCATGTTTGGACTGCATGGGTTTGCATCTTTGTAAGCATCATAGCAGTTTGCAGAATTTTTGGGGCATCAAAGGTGCAGTGGAAAAAGGTTTGTGATCCAAAAAATGCTAGACAGGTAGCTTGCTGTGTTTTGAAACACGACTATTAATTTATTTATTTATTTACTGTTTTTTTTTTTTTTGTGTGTGTGTATGTTTTTTGCAGAAGGCGCTCAGTATGGCGTTAAAATCTGGAGAAGAGCGCCTGAAGGAAATGGAGGCAGAGATGGCGCTGTGAGTTTTTCACATTTCATTCATGTTTGGTTGTTCCAGCTGTTTATTTGTGTGTTTTGGAGTGTGTAGAATAGAGCATTTCTGACTTCATGTGTGTTGATGTTGTTGCTTCTCCTGTAGGTTTGAGCAGGAGGTGTTGGGAGGACCTGTGGCATCTACAGTGGTTGAAGCTGTTCCAGTCGCTCTGGCAATGCCAGCCGTACCCATGATCAGGCCCATTATTGGCACGAACACCTACAGACAGGTATTAATGACTGATTACAAAAAAAAAAAAACTACGATTTTACATTGTATTGGCACGGCTGGCTCACAAGCTGCGACAAAGGAAACAAAATGTTATTGTATGCTGGGGATGAGTGGGTTAACACATTTCTATATTAATAAGTGAAAATTGAATTAAAAATAAGACATTAACATTTATATTATATATATACTGTATATATATATTAAAGTATTATAGTTATAATTTGATTCCTAAAAACATTGATCAATTCTGACTAACTTTTCTTATTATTATTTTTGTTTATTAGGTCCAGCAGAGTTTGGATGCAAGAGCTGCCACTTTAGTTGGCCCGCCGCCTACATTTGTTGGTCCTGGTACAATTATTTCACACTCTTATTATAGAGTTTAAGGAAAAGTCATATATTGAAAGTAGCTGACAATCATCTGATATTTATTTGTAGCTATGCCGGCAGTAGCGCCGCCTCCAATGATGCGTCCAGCATTTGTCCCGCATGTCTTACAGAGACCAGGTAATCAGGATTCCCATTATTGTGTGTGTGTATTTATATTCAAAGGGGATTGAGCCATATATATATATATATATATATATATATATATATACATATATATCAGTGCTGGGTTTTAATTGCATCCAAAATAAAGGTTTGTTTTTACATAAAATATTTGTGGGTTTTGTATAGATAAATACACACATATGCATATATATTTTAGAAAAATGTTTTAATTATATATATATACACTCACCGGCCACTTTATTAGGTACACCTGTCCAACTGCTCGTTAACACTTAATTTCTAAGCAGCCAATCACATGCCGGCAACTCAGTGCATTTAGGCATGTAGACATGGTCAAGACAATCTCCTGCAGTTCAAACCGAGCATCAGTATGGGGAAGAAAGGGGATTTGAGTGACTTTGAACGTGGCATGATTGTTGGTGCCAGAAGGGCTGGTCTGAGTATTTCAGAAACTGCTAATCTACTGGGATTTTCACGCACAACCATCTCTAGGGTTTACAGAGAATGGTCCGAAAAAGAAAAAACATCCAGTGAGCGGCAGTTCTGTGTGCGGAAATGCCTTGTTGATGCCAGAGGTCAGAGGAGAATGGCCAGACTGGTTCGAGCTGATAGAAGGGCAACAGTGACTCAAATAACCACCCGTTACAACCAAGGTGGGCAGAAGAGCATCTCTGAACGCACAGTACGTCGAACTTTGAGGCAGATGGGCTACAGCAGCAGAAGACCACACCGGGTGCCACTCCTTTCAGCTAAGAACAGGAAACTGAGGCTACAATTTGCACAAGCTCATCGAAATTGGACAATAGAAGATTGGAAAAACGTTGCCTGGTCTGATGAGTCTCGATTTCTGCTGCGACATTCGGATGGTAGGGTCAGAATTTGGCGTCTACAACATGAAAGCATGGATCCATCCTGCCTTGTATCAACGGTTCAGGCTGGTGGTGGTGGTGTCATGGTGTGGGGAATATTTTCTTGGCACTCTTTGGGCCCCTTGGTACCAATTGAGCATCGTTGCAATGCCACAGCCTACCTGAGTATTGTTGCTGACCATGTCCATCCCTTTATGACCACAATACCCAACTTCTGATGGCTACTTTCAGCAGGATAATGCGCCATGTCATAAAGCTGGAATCATCTCAGACTGGTTTCTTGAACATGACAATGAGTTCGCTGTACTCAAATGGCCTCCACAGTCACCAGATCTCAATCCAATAGAGCATCTTTGGGATGTGGTGGAACGGGAGATTCGCATCATGGATGTGCAGCCGACAAATCTGCGGCAACTGTGTGATGCCATCATGTCAATATGGACCAAACTCCCTGAGGAATGCTTCCAGCACCTTGTTGAATCTATGCCACGAAGAATTGAGGCAGTTCTGAAGGCAAAAGGGGGTCCAACCCGTTACTAGCATGGGGTACCTAATAAAGTGGCCGGTGAGTGTATATATATATATATATATATACATATACATGCAAATATTTCTTAACAGTACATGCATATGTGTGCATTTATACATACAAAACAAATATATATTGTAAAAACAAACCTTTATTTTGGATGTGATTAATCTTTGCCCAGCACTGGGCAATATGGACAAAAAAAAAATCATATCCCAGTATTTTACGATATGTGCAAAATGAAAATATTTGCATGACTTTCTTACATTTAGAGATGGAGAATATACCTGAAATGTAAGTTATGCTGAGGAATCACATCTCAAACGCATTAATCAGCGTCGGATATGGATAATGCACTTTTCCCACTGTTTCGTAAAAAATAAAATAACGCTATATTGTGCAAATTTCTTATACTGTGCAACCAATGATATTTAAATATGATATTTTTTAAAACATTTTCTATTTACAGAACAATATAGAGCCTAAAATATAATGATGCAAATTTTAAAATATCTAAATGTGTTTTTTTCCAGTGGGTCAGAGAATGCCACTAATGCGTGGTCCACCTCCTCAGGGCATGATAGCACCTCCTCTTCCCAGACCTCCACCTCCTCCACCCATGATGATGGCTCCACCAATGCCAGGACCTCCTCAGCCCTCCATGGGTCCAGTTGGACCACCCATGGGGCCCATGCCTCCAGTGGGTATTTTCTGAATTGCAATCAGCTGTCAGGGTATTTTTAAGGTTACTTTGTGCTTTAAAAAGTGAGATGTCAGTATCACAAATGTTTTTCTAAATAAATGGCAGGTTGGAAACATGAACCCTATGCCTCCGGCACCACAGCGGCCCATGAGTCAAGCCCCTGCGAAGATCACTCCCAGTGTTATACAGGCGGCCCCCACGGTTTACACAGCACCCCCTGCCCCAAAGAGAATCGACTTCAAGAGCCAAAAACAAGCACGCATGGTAAAGTATCAACACGCACAAAAGTCCATTTGCTTATTTCACTGATTTGCTTGAAAGTTCGGTGCTGACATTTTATATAGATCACACTCACGAGGTGTAATTTAAAAATATGCAGTACATCCACTATAAAAAAGGTCCATGACCTTTTAAAGTCCCCCTGCAGTCAATAATTGTATCCCTTAACTCAACTTTGAAAATCCAAATTACATGTTGAAAGGTTTTTTCCTGTGAAAATAATTTCTTCATGCCTTAAAAGGATACTCCGTTTTTCATATTAAACTATGTTATTCCCTTACCTAAGACGAGTTGATGCATAGCTCTCGTCAGTCGCTCTGGCGCGCGAGACACTTTGATAGCACTTAACTAGCCCAGTTCATTCATTAGGATGCAAGCAGAGAAGCGACCAAACACCTCCACGGTTTCCCTGTTTAAATACAGTTACAAATTGGAAATTGGAAAGGTTTGCAAATTGTGGTGTACATGCTTGGATAAGCCATGGAAATGCATTGGTGCTGTGAGTGCTGTGAGAACCCTGTAGGACCTATTCACTGTTTCCAGAGCATCAATTTTTAATTTCAAAGCACCATATGATTCATTAAAAAAAAAAAAAAAACATTGTAAGTGAGAAATTTAAATCTCATTGTGTTTCCTTTGCAATGCTTGTAATGATATAAACCTTCTCTCGGTTTGTTTTCTCAGGAGGAGTTGTCAGCATTGGTGGCGGAGCAGCAGGCCGCAGTCAAGGCAGCTGGGCTTCTGGAATTGAAGAAGGAGGTGGTCCCTGATGACAGCAAGATCGGGCCGAGCAAGCCAGAGCCTGAGCCTACACATGTTGAGGTTTAATATTTATCTATTCAGTTTGCTCAGGACGTATTACACTTACAGGGGTTGGACGAAAGACCTTGCTGCTGAGGGAAAATGCTCCCTCAGCATATATATATATATATATAAAGATATAAATATATTGTGGCCATGAACTAAGAATTTTGTTCCCGCTTTTTAGTAAATCGTAACCAAGTTAAATTAATTAATGCCCTCAATTTGATTGAACTAAAATAAGGGTAAGGCTTGTTTATTGATATAGCACATTTCATACACAATGGTAATTCAAAGCACTTTAAATAGAAGACATTAAAATAATCAAAACAAATAAGAATAATTAAAACAGTTTAGAATTTAAAAGTATAGTAAAAACAGTCATACGAACAGTGGTACAGTGCTCATTAATGCATAGCTAAGGGAACTAATTATTACAACGTGGCCATGATTTAGTAAATCGATGGAACGAATTATTATATTGTGTGTGTATTATTTACTTAAAACAAGGGAACGACTTACTGGTTTGGAAGTCGTAGAAATGAATTGATAATTCATAGCAAATGTATGCTAATTTATTCCTACGGCTCAGAATAAAACCTTTTAAAAGAGACTCTTTTTTTAATCTCACAATTTCGACTTTATTTCTCAGAATTGCATTATAAAATGACTTTTTATCTCGCAATTCTGACTTTATGACTTTATAACTATTTTTTCTATTATTTTCTGGCGTTATATCTCCCAATTCTGACATCTTTTCTCAGAATTGTGAGATATAAACTTGCAATTGTGAGTTATAAAGACAAATTCTGATTATTATCTTATTATATCAAATATTGATTATTTTTTTTCCTCAGAATTGCAAGTTTATTTCTCTTAATTCTGACTTTTACACACAATTGTGACTTTATATCATGAAATTCTGATATTATTATAAAAAATCGCAATTACCTTTTTTCTTTTTTATTCTGTGACGGAAACAAGCTTCCATTGTGCTCTGTATTTTAGCAGCAAGTTAACTTAAACTTATTTATTTTGTTTAAAAAAATCTTATATTTATATTTAGTTTTATTTCAGCTTTATATCAATTAACATGCCGTAAACATAATTTCTAATAGTTATACTAATAACAATTCTTGATATGAATATGGTTCTGATTATTTCTTTATTTACATATCCCTAGCCTGCTGATACCAGCACAGAAGACAAGAAGAAAGGGAAACAGGAAAAGCAGAAGAAATGCATCCGGGTGGCAGCTGGTGTCACATGGGAGGACACCAGCCTATTAGAGTGGGAAACAGGTGTGTGAACATTTAGACAATACAACATTCTTTATTTAAATTTTTTTTTAAAGCAGCCAAAAACATATAATCTACTGTATTTCGTTCTTGTCTTCTCAGATGATTTCCGGATATTTTGTGGAGATCTGGGGAATGAGGTGAACGATGACATTCTGGCGAGAGCGTTTAGCCGTTATCCATCCTTCCTGAAGGCGAAGGTTGTTCGAGACAAACGCACTGGGAAAACAAAAGGTTACGGCTTCGTGAGTTTTAAAGACCCCAATGATTATGTGCGCGCCATGAGAGAAATGAACGGTGAGTTAAAATTGTGGGGTTGTTTTTTTCCTAGTTTTATATTTTTTAAATTAATCTGCAAGGATGCACTAAATTGATCAAAAGTGACAGTAAAGACATTTATAATGTTTCAGAACATTCTGCTCTTCATCAAAGGTGAATTATCATGGTTTCCACAAAAATATGAAGCAGCACAACTATTTTCAACATTGATAATAATAAGAAACGTTTCTTAAGAAGCAAATCAGCATATTAAAGGATTTATGAATGATCATGTGACACTGAAGACTAGAGTAATGATGCTGAAAATTCAGCGTCACAGGAATAAATTATATTTGATTAAATTATATTTAATATATTTGCATAGAAAGTTTTTTGAAAGTGTGTAGTTTTTACTGTATTTTTTTTTTTTTTTTACCAAATAAAAGCTATCATGGTAAGCAAACACCAAATTAGCTTCACTAAACACATTTGAAATGATCTCCAGGACAATTTATTTTTTTAAAAAAGTCTGAAATCAAACTTAGATCTGTATCCAGCACATCTGGAACTGTTAAATTCACACTCTTGTCTTTGTCTTTAGGGAGGTATGTGGGCAGCAGACCCATCAAACTGAGAAAGAGTTCATGGAAGGACCGCAATCTGGAAGTTGTGCGTAAGAAACAGAAGGAGAAAAAGAAGTTGGGACTGAGATAATCCATCTACACTGATACTGTGGACTTGATTTGTTTGATCCAGGTCATATATGACGAGTAGGAGTCAGTAACAATCCTCCATTAGTTACAAACAAGCGACTGTCAACTTCCCACATGGCCCTTATTACTAATAAATCTACATTTATTTTCATGTGTATTGTCACACACTCTCTCACTGCATGCTGTAAAAATCTTTCACTTGTCCAGAATGCTTCAAGAGAGATTTTTAAACGTGTAGTTATGAAACTAGTTTGGATATTGGTTTTGTACCCCATGCCCCCCTCCATGTCATAAACATTTAACTTCAAAGTTCAGGCGGCAGTTACGTTTGTTGCTATACCAGGTGGATGTTTGAATTAATTATGTGTAAAAAATAATGCAATTTTTTTCAATAAACTGGAGTTTCTTTAGTTTCAATTCTGACCCGTTTATTAAATCTCGAATGCCTCAACTTGTGATTCTGACAGCAACCACCAGGCGGCTCCCCAAAGTTATGAATGATGCATAATTCTTTGATCCTGTTGTAAACGTTAGTACACATAATAATATTTTTATAATATAGAGACATGATGATAAAATTACCATCTATTATTTTTTGGGAAAAGCTCTCATAGTCACTGTTGATAGGAAACCAAAAGATTTTCTCTCTAACCACAAACGCCCACTTGCATGTGCTTCTAAAATACTCGTTTCCTAAAGCTGATGTGAAAAAAGCAGAAATGGCTCGTGCATTAATCTGTCTGACAAACAACTGAGAATATACACAGATCACGACACCAGGAGAGAATGCATCGTAGAGCCACAAGTGAGTTTTAACTCTTAATCACAATTAGGATAGCTCTTCAGTTTAAATGTAATGTCTTATTGTTTTCAGGAGCCTGTTTACAAATGTATTTGTTCTGTTTGTACTCTCTCTGTCTTTATGCTTTCACATTAATAGGTCTGTTTATCTGTTAACATTTCATATTTGGTTGTAGTGTCTCTTTTCACTAATTCACGTTTAGATGGTTTTACAGACAGTATTTGCTCCTTCAAATAAAGTGATGTGTTATATAAAAGCTCAAAACATATGTAATAAAAAATGTCCTTTCTTAAAAGTTCTGTGGTGCATGATGGTATCAGATGATAATGTCATGGTACTGAAAAGTCGTCATATTAATGTTCTACAGTTCTACATATCGTAATACTGTGGTGAACATGTCATGTTGGAAGTATGATGTAATGTATCAGAGTATGGTATATTTCACAGTATATTTTGTGAGAGGTGCACATGTTCAAAAACGTTAATATCGAGTATCCACTGACTATGCAAAAACAAAAAGTATGTGAATTTTGATAATAGGCTACACACAATTGATTAACATGTACTATGTTAGCCCATATGGTATTCCAAGATACTTCAAATAAAAGCGTTTTATTTGAATAGTAGTGACGTATTACCATATTTATGTAGCCTTTTGTATTTTTTGGTAGGCTATTTTGTTTAAATACCAAGCTACTTAAAAAAAAACCCACAGTACTATAATTTTACATGTCCGTGTTTGCCATAACAACATATACCAATTATCACACAAGGGTTTTTTTTTCTCGGTAAATTCTTGCCTTCATTATTTTGTTAATTCTACTGGATGACGATTGCGCGCCTCCGCCCATTGATCAGCGGCGCGCTCCAGGCTTCCTTTTGTCCAACGGGCCACCTCAGTGGAACATTCCATTCTGGAAAAGAGGGGAGCACAGCTTAGTTGTCTTTCCTAAAGTTTGACTTTATTCAACAACACAGCGCTACTATCACTCACGGCGTAGACAGTTTTATTGGATTCTAAATATTTTGTAATGCAACGATATAAATCGTAAAAAAGTTCCCCGGTCGTGTTTGGGTGAAGCGAGGGCACCCGTAAGTTGTTTTGGGAGCGGCGAAGAACCCCTCAGTTCTCCCAGCGAGCAGTGAGATGAGATGGGCGGGAGAACACGCGGGACGATGCTGCTGTTCCGGGAATTTGATCGATTTGAGTCTCCTGTCTGAGTAATTTGTTTTTGGACGTCACAGTAGTGGCGATATGTATCTGTGCGGGATTTGTGGAGTTGTGTGAGGACGCGCTGGACATATTTACCTTCTCCTATTCCTCCTTTGGCTGTTTATTTGGGGGCTCTCCACTCTAACGTCTCTTCAGTCTCAGCGTCCGGTGGTGCTTTTGCGCGATCCAGGTCATTAACACACTATTGCGAAATAAAACCAGGATGTAAGGAAAAAGCGTTGATGTGGGAAGAAACTTTGGAAACGCATCCTGATCCAAACACGGAGCCCTGCTGGTCCCTCCCGCCTAAGCTGGAGATAGGGATGGTGGTAAGTTATATTTCTGCATTAAAACCTTCACAATCAACCCCAGTGTTTATTGGTTTTCCACAACAGGCCATTTCAATTGCCTCCACTTTCCCTCACGGATTGAGTTCGTTGTACAGATGCAGTTGTTGCCATTAGTTACAAGATCAGCATCAGCAACACACCACATCTGACAAACTGCTATTGTCCCTCATCTGATGTTGCTAGAAAGTGGTTCACTGTTTTTTTTGTGGGGTTTGAGCCCCTCCCTGTTAACCATTCCCACCCAGCCAGCCCAGCACTATTCCACTGGGAGTACAGCTTCTTTACTGGGTATAATTTCATTTATCTGCCATTGTGATGTGCTCATCATCTGAAACTGTTTCAATATGCATATGCTTCATCTTTTGTTTAGCTTCATCAAAGAGACCATCCTGATCTAACAAAGACATGTCCTGAAACTCCTTGTCCCCTCTTGAATATTCCAGGTGGCAGGATACATGCATTTAGACATTCTACAAAGGGTATTTGAGTCGTCTAGACTAATGTTATAGATCTGATTAATGTTTGCTCAGTGGTTTGTTTAAAAGCAGTGGACTTGCCGGTTCTTTTGGAGACAAACTAAATCACAAACACACTCCGTTTGTTCATCCATATGGCTTGACTTCTTGGGAAAGCACAGGCCTGTGTTAATGCTCGGTCAACATTGGCTAAGACTAGTCATCGGTGGAAATGTAAAGTGTAGCTATAAAAGTCTTTGTACATCACCACAAAGAGTTGCAATAGCTTAAGGTAAATTCTATGATTTCGACATGTTAAAAAGTTGGGATGATAACATTCACTAGGGGTATGTTTACACAACATCGATATTGGCTTTCTAAAAACAAGTTTTTCTTTGCGTTTTTCACGCACAGACGACAATGTTGTTAAAATGAGCCACTATCTGTGAAAAACGCTGTATTATTCATACCAGGCCAGTAGTTGGTGATGTCACTTCGTAAAGAAACACTGCACGTCTATATGCTGAACATGTAATACGCATGGCCGTCACCATTTTCACAAATTTAAGTTTTTGTAGTTTACACAGAGAAGATAATGGTATTATTATTTTCAAAAACTTGCACTTTGAAACCCGCTTTTGAAAGTTTGAGTTTTCAGGCCACCAAAACACTGTGGTCGTGACTTGTGTGTTGTGTAAATGGCCCTTAACCATCAAAACCACATTTTATTTGTTGTCTTTTAGCGGCGGAGTTTCTTCTTTTGCCTGAAAACTGTTAGTTTTTCATCTGTACATTTAGTCAGTTTACTCTCTCGCTCTTGCTCTCATGTATTTTCAAACCATTATGACTTTCTTTCTGCTGTGGAACACCAAAGGAGAAGAATATTTAAAGAAAACAATGGAAGTGGATGGGGATCAGTGACTGTCAAGAAATCCACACAAAAGGTCACAAGTCAAGTTATAAAGTCATAAGACCAAAACAGTCAGACTAAAATTTAAAATCTTGCTAGGCAGCTGTGGTCTCTTTCATTGCATGGCAAAA